CTCGAATGTGGGTTGCGCTTTTTTCATTACAAGTGACGATATACTGCTTCAACACCAACTAAACGGTGGTCAACTCCTACTTCCCCAGTCATACTGTGGAGTCCCATGGGTACGCTAAATCGGGTTGACAGGAGTCAAGTGTGGAAGGAAAAATTGAACCCTCTAGATACTTATATAGCCAAATTTTTATCTCACGATCATCGGTGTGAGATGCAAAAGCAAAAGTCTTAGCGCTCACTTAAAGGGCGGGTTCCTCACCTCACCCTGGACTCCGAGTGTGTTGAAGCAAGATGAGGAGGAAATTGAAACGCTAATTGGCATAAAAGCATCACACTCATCCCCTCTAATTTAGATTTGCTACTTTTGAAAGAAAATGAATGGGGTGGAGGTGTAAATAGGTGAATAAAGGATGTTAATTTATTATACGGCGGACTAATGATGACATGACTTCATTAGGGAAGTGGTGCAATTAATGTGATTGCTTAGGCAGAATTGTCCGGCACATTTAATTCTGGCGTAGTTAACTCGTCAATGCATTCGTTGATTCTGCAACTATTGCGACCAAAATGGCAGAAATAATGTTCACTGTTTTACAAAAAGAAGCAGCAATAAATACCAACGAACAAATTTATAAGGTAAAGTAGTCCACGTCAAGGGACTCTGTTTGTCCCCTCCTCCCTTCCCACTTTCATTGGGAGCAAAAATGTCCTGCAGAGTGGTAGTTCCTGTCGTGCAGTGGGTGGAAGGACTTAAAACAATTTTAAATCAGTTAAAATTAACATCAACACATAAAGTGCCAAAAGCTGATTTCGAAAAAAAGTCGCGACAAAATCTGTCTAAAACCTAGGCTTCGCTCAAGTTTGAGCCATCACATTTTAATCTCATCACTTCCACCCTTTTTTGGAAAGAGCAATCTGTGCCACATATCAACAGACTGTCAGGCATAAAGTAAAATGTTGGAATGCTCATCCAACCAAACCTCACTTCTGTTTTATTAAAAAGGAACGCAATCGTGGACCACCTAAAGCATGCAATCCCTTAATGTCAGCTTGTGAATGGCATCTGCTATTTGGATTTCAATAACTTAAGTAACCCACGAGTTGCTATCAAATCAATCCATTTTTTGAGGTAATGAAAATAATTTAAACATTGTCTTGTTTGGTACTAGTACTGACTTGAGAAAAGTCCCGACTGACTGAAACTTCTAAGCCACTTTGCTCTTCTCATTGGATTCTCACCACCACATTTTCCTCTTCCATGTAAGTTTTCAGCCTACCGTGTTGGCCCTTTTTCCTGGATTTTGCGCTTAAGTGGTTAAAAAGCGTCTCGATTGCATCTGGAGGTGAGCGGATTTGATTAACTGGTTGCGGTTTCCAACCACACAGGAATGTGGCGAGGCAAGCATAAATTCCCATTGGGCCGTTCCGTACTTCCAATATCACAGGAGAAATATGCTTTCCCTTGCAAACAAGTACTTTCACATCTCGTTCCCTTGCCATCTTGGAGTATTTCCTATTCCATAATCATTTTTAAATTAAAATACCTTGGCGCATCAAGGATGCATACGCTTACCCAAGGGAAGCTCAGCACATGCATAGATAATCCTCAACTGCACGGCAATAAATGCTTTCTCATATTATTTCATGGTCTTGACTATGATTGGAGGATGTAAAGACATGAAGTGACTTCTAATGTAAAGATGGTTGCATTCGATGCATGCTAATGCACAAGGCAGATGGACTAAAGGATGTATAAATTAAAAAGGAATTTGTACCACAGCAGAAGGCCAAATCAGCACTTCACCCGTCCTGCAAACGAACCAAAAGTTGAAGGAGTGCGAGAGGCAATGAGGAGGTCGATGAGGTTCAGTTCTTCACTCTCCTACCTTGCATGCGAAAAGTGAGGTTTTGAGAAAATTCAGAGGATGCAAATTAATACGAGTCGTATCATGTAACAGACACCAGAGAGGGGTCTTCAAAGCCTTATCGCCAGCCTAATTTCAAACACTAAAAATGCCCTTAATTGCTAGCATATGAGGACTCTGCCTACCGAACTGCATGCAAGCCTCAACAGTGCGTTTGTCATCAGAGATGAAATTAAAGCGAGGTGATCGGATCAGCGATAAGAGGCGGCTTCTCGGTGAGGTATAAATAAATCACCCCTAACTCCAATCAAAATGCCCCTGACAAACACAGTCACAAATGTCGTGGCCAAATGCATGCCTTCAATCGAAAGGTGATGCATTGTTAAGTCTGAGGGGAGCAAAACCCTCTGAGTTGGTCTGATACATCCTGTGGAGAGCAATATCTATGAATCACACCGCAAATTGTGCAAAACGGAAGCACCGGGAGTACTCATAAAAAATCATGCCACTTGAATGAATATTTAATGCTGCCACATTTGCCGCTCTTTCCACGTTAGTCTTGAGGCAATATTTTTCTGTTAAAATTTCAATTTCTAGCTTTCAACAAAATGCATTTTTTGTTTGTTAACATTTGAACGTTTTGGTGAGCCTTCCGGGCTTAGCATTGGCTTGCTCCGTGAAATCGTCCTTCATGTGCATCATATGCGATCCATGCACAGTCAAGCGCTCAAATCCGGCAGCAAGTGCTGTGCTGCCTCCTATGCAGGCACCTAAAGAAAGGCAATCCGTGGGGCCCGACCACTAACCTATACACAATATGCATTCGATTTATGCGAATATAAAGTGAAGAGAAGAATGGTTTTGGATGGCAGTTCTCGTTGGCTTATGTGCCTGGGCAAAAAACCCTCGTCTAGTACACACGAATGGCTCCGCTTTAGATCAACAATGCCAGTTTGACAGAAAAGATTGTCTATGGTGATGAATTCTCACTCTCGAGATTGGTAACTTCTAGTAAAATTTTGTTGCTGGTGAGAAATAGTCTAAAACGTCAATTTCATACTGCTTCTTTAAATGCCTCTTCAACATTGAGCATAGGCTACACTGAGTAAGGAACGGCAATTTTTTGTGTTTCATTAAACGCAGACATTCACCTTCCTGTTATGTCGACTCAAAAAGTAAAAAAGGAAGATGACGCCACCAGATAAGGAGTGCAATGTGGCCAGAGATTTGACTCAGTGGTCTATTTTTCAATTTTGGGTGTGACTCGGACCTTGCGTTGAGGTGTTTGATCGTTAATTATAGTTTACGGGCCCGTCCGCATGGCTCAACCTCTTCTTCCACACCAAGTGGATGGAGGCTTGATCGCAGACTAAAACAACTTTTGTGCTCAAACCCAAAGGATCGTTTGGAAACCCTCAAACTCCGTAGCATCACCAGCTGCGAGAACACACGCAGAGATGGAATCAAAGCAACAGTTTGCATGCAAAACATTTAGAAGCGGTTTTCCAGATCCTTTAGCCTATGGAATGTGTGGTTTTAAGGAAAAATTGTGTGAGATGCTGGGCCAGTTAAATCACGCAGTACTCATAATTTTAAAATGCGCTTTAGCAAATCTTTTAAGCACTTGAGGCGAAACAATCCTGCTGTCTTAGCAGCATTGACGATGGTTTATGAGTAGAACAACGGGTAATACTCAACTCAGTGTCCTGTCTAGGCTTACTCATATGTAGTTTAAAATTTTCTAACCTGAACATCGCTTGTAAGAGGGAGATTTCTCTGCCACATTAAAATGCACCTCCAATGCCTCAGTACGCGACGAAGGTTTCTATTCTCAGTCCCACCAATTTCCCTTATTCACACTTAGCGGAAATGGCGTACACATAAATGTGGATTTCTGGACTCCGAGAAATGAACATTAATACGGATTGAAGTTCCGACGAAATAAGGTGAAGACTGTGTACCTTTGGATTTGGAGAAGGAAAATGCAGAACACAGGCCATGTGGATGCCTCTAGTGCACCAGAGGTTCATTTAGGGAAGGCATTGTTTTGCTGCACTCATTCAACCTATAATTAACGTACACCAATAAATAGCCTTAGTGGCGCAGTCCAATTTTCGTCCAGATAATGAAGAATGACCAGCCCCTGCCACCAAAATATTTGTTTGTGCATTAGGCAGTCATTTTTATGTAGGGTCTGCCAGCATCACCAAGTATTGTAAAAATAAATCTTGTATTAAGATGTTTCGAAAATTTGTCTCAGTTGCCAGCACTATCAGAACTTGACACCTCGATTCTTTCTCCAACCCTCTTCCTTCTTCGCCATTCTTTTACTGATTTGGTAGCTGCTGCTGGACAGCACTATCATCTATGTATGTCGCAGTTCTCACCTGCTGCTCTTTCTCCACTCTCTCCTCGGTGCCCTTTTTTGTCATTGTCATTTTCTATCCTATGTCCTTAAATTAAATTATTCTAATCCCATAAAAGTGCGTGTCGTCAGTGAGATCAACATGATCCACTTCACTAAAAATAGCTCACCATTCAAAGTATACAAACTGTGAGGCGTAATTTCAAACCTGGTGTATGTCCTCCTCAATTAATTTTGTAATCATGGAAAAAAATCTTAAGCAAATGATGAGTGTCACTACTGGCAGATAATGGAGGTTATCTGATTTCTGCACCCGTGATGAAGTGTGTGTGTGCAAGGCTGAGTATTCACCTGTGCGGGCAAGAACGTGCACGGGCGAGACTAGGCTACCTTCCCGTTCTGCGAAGACAACGACTGTCGTTCTCCCATTCTCTAGTGCGCTCGTCTCCACTCCTTCTGTCTCCAGTTTGTGTGCGCGCGTGCGTGCATGCACGTGCGTGTCTAATTGAATCTTTCCTCTTCCTCGTGCTTATTCCAGGGTGCGCACGTGAGTTTACATGCCTAGGTGACACGCCGCACGGGAGCGTGCATTATTATCCTAATACATTGGCAGGTGAGCTACTCCAACCAGCCAATGGGAAGCTCGCGTGCACGCACGAACGCGCGCAAACGAGCTCCCCTTCTGCCTCAAGTTGTGCACACACACGCGCACGCACAAACCAACATTAGACACACAAATGGAGCTCCGTCAATCCCTTCGCTGTCCCTGATATGCTCATCTTCCGCCACCTGGCCCTTCTTCTTTACACTCTTCTTATAATCGACCTTATACCTGTTGTTTCGGGAATAAATGCAAGTAAAAAATTGGAAAAGGATAAGGAGAAGAAGAAAAAGTCCAAAACCCGTTTGGTTGCCACTGTACCTGGCGACATAATTCTTGGCGGTCTTTTCCCTGTACACAGTTCCGGCGCTGTGAAGTGTATGTCACTTAACCCAGAGCGTGGCATTCAACGTCTGGAGGGGATGCTCTTCACTCTTGATGAAATTAACAACAACTCCGCCCTTCTCCCAGGCTTACGGCTGGGTGCCAATCTGCGAGACACTTGCTCCCTTGGTAACCATGCGTTGGAACAGTCGCTTGACTTTGTAAAAACAACCGTGGATGATGTCATGAACGAGCCGAAGGAACAGGACAAAATGTGTGTCTGTCCTTGTGCTCCCGGAGGGATACCATATTGTCCTGGCGGGGGACAAAGAATGTCTAGCTCAACCATGCCTCATCCGACCTCGTGGAGCCAGGACATTGTTCGAGGTGTGGTGGGAGGGTCGTATACAACTGTCTCCATTCTTGTGGCTAACCTCTATAGACTCTTTAAACTACCTCAAATCTCCTACGCCTCAACTAGTGCCGTGCTTAGTGATAAGAGGACCTACCCGTTGTTCGCACGCACTGTTCCCTCCGACGTGGAGCAGGCTCGAGTGATGGCAGCTCTCGTGGCAGCGCACAATTGGACCTATGTGTCAACTGTACGAAGTGCTGGCGATTATGGCGACTCTGGGATGGACGCCTTCTGGAAGGAGGCGGACAAACGGGATGTATGCATTGCTGCGAGGGAGGTTGTGCGTGGCAGTTCTTCGTCCAGTGATCTGGACGAGGTGGTACGCGTGCTGCGTTACGGCTTTTCCAAAGCTCGTGTGGTCGTTCTTTTTACCAGAATGGATCACACAAAGTTGTTGTTAGATGCAGTTAGGAGAGCAAATCACACCGATCATTTCGTCTTCATTGGCAGCGACGGTTGGGGTAGAGAAAATATGCCAGTTTTAAATAACTCTCGTGTTGCCAACGGCGCACTTACGATTGAAATCCTCGCAACTGAGATTGAAAAGTTTTCAACTTATTACAAGAATTTGCGATTAGACAATACGCGGAACCCGTGGTTTGCCAAGTACTGGCAGTCGCTGTTCGGTTGCACATTCGACAACTCAAGCACTCAGCAAAATGTCCCTCACTGCGAGGTGACCAAGAATAAGCGACTGGGTGATAAGCTGCCCGAGCCTTTTAAACAAGAGGCGAAGATCCAATTCGTTTATGATGCTGTCTATGCTCTAGCACATGGGCTGCATAATCTTCAACAGAAGCTCTGTCCCTTCGATCCAGATCCCGCAAAGTGGGACAAAAATGAGTGCATACGGAAGCTTTTGGCCTATCCCGGGGACGAGTTCTACAAAATTATCATCTCCACGACCTTCAAAGGTATCTTTCATGCTTAGCATATTTCATTCGTAACCGAGTTGTTACAAACGGCTTCACTTAAGCACATCTGTTTAGTTAGTAAGAATAACGAAAATACAAAAGAATTTTGTGTTCGTGAGTAAAACTGACAATGCTGCTGAGGTTACATCAAACCACCTAAATCATAAATAAAACACATTGGGATAAGGCATGGTAATTGCTGCGATCTCTAAGACGTACAAAATGACTCCATTAATTTAGGCATTTAATAAAACATAATTGGCACCGGCCAAGAGACTTGGAATTGATAAGTTTGATCTTAGCCGAAAATAGATACGACAGCGTTGACTCACAATCACACCCATCAAATGGTAATTCAACTTTCTTCTTTATAATTATTTTGGATGCAACATGAAAAGGTCCTTTAATGGCCTTGGCCACTGCATGATGGTAGGAACCACTGCAAGAAAGCTTGAACCTATGTATAAAGTAGAAAGAAGAGATTAAAGGCCGCGCCGTACTAACAGCATGAAAAATTTAAAAACCATACCCACTTGACATCCTTAAAAAGTCAGCCGTCGCACTTATCATCACCAAAATGAATAAGTAATGTCTTTTCTCCTCCTTGGAAGATTTATGAATGGTATGAGGTTTTTGATAATACCCTCTCCTACATTATAAATAACGCGGAAAGGAATCACATGATTTGCTTCCTTTCAGCGGTGATTGGCGTTGCCCAGTGGCATAACGAGCGAATAAATTCAGCGTCAATTGCAATTAAAGATGCCACCACAGCGAAGCAATTCATAAATCAAAGTTTACTCGGACTGATTTGCTACTACCTTTTTAGTGATAAATGGGACTGGAGCAGATGGCTGAGTGCAAAATATGAAACGAACTAGGATGGACTGCTTGTCATGCCCAAATATTTTAACAGCAGTTCATGAATTGTGCCTGCCAGTATTCATCTACCTTGCGAGAAGAAATGAGTGCTTAGTTTTAATACATCAGTCACTGTGAGACTAAAGAATTTCTCCTGAAACTAAAGCTTACTGAAAGAGATGCGCGGTCATCCACTGGAAGGCATGAAGAACGGTTGACGGTGAATCTAACTGCGAGTGGTTACCATGGCAACCCACAAACTGAGCACTCATCTTGACGCCTGTAAGCATTCCAACAGGTTTTTAAAAATTGAAAGCTAACTACTTATAAGAGCATTATCGAAGCAGAAGACGGCCAACTTTGTCTTAGCTGCATTACAAAATCGTCCGCTAATTATAAATAAATGATTCAGTGAACATTGAATGAGGTTAATTATGGCTGGTCAGACGACAAGACTGGAGTTGCAGTGTCTACACTTTACAACAATAAAATATAAACGTTGTGAGGATGAAGGCAATGCTTTTATTAATGACATGGATGGGATGCATTACTTCGCCGTCTGCAAAACCAATGAATGAATGAGCAGCTGCCATTAATTTGAGACGGACACCGAGGTTTACAATGAGGTAGTTGCACAGCGTCCACACGTCTTGCATGGAGCGCTCTAGCAAAGCGCTGATTGCAGCATTCAATGATTCATTAGCCAGTGTCCCTTCAAATTGAGCTCTCATTTTTGTGTTGGGTCATACAATCCATAGCCCACTGGACTTCCCATCAATCCTAATCCAATTTTGCAGCACGATCTAGCGAGGGAAAAAGGTGTGACTGCTTGGCGGTGAAATGTTGACAGGATGTGTGTGTGTGTGTGTGTGAATGTGTAAAAAACTAAAACTGCGACAATTTTTTTGCAAATTTGGGAGAAGACTTTAACACAAGATACATTTTAGTACACTTCTTATTCGCGAAAGGGACATAAAATGGTCTTCTATAGAAGAGGTAAGCTTTTACAATCCCTGCCACAAGTTTGCATGCAAAAGCTATTCATCAACCTCGTTGTCCTCGGCTGCGCGAGTTTCGGCGGTTGTAATTGAACAAATCACCCTCCATGATTGGCCTCTCAAAATAAATTACAATTTCCAGGACTAGTAGGACTCAGCATCTTTTTATTGCATGAAATATTTTGTGTTCCTAGTGTAGTGCGCAGTAGTAATTATTTTCCAAACAGCCACAATTCGATAAGATTACGGCGACGCGTTCCTTAGCTGGCAAAGCTTCGGAACCTCCTTGATAGGTATGGTGATGCTGCTGGAGTAAACTTCTAGTTCCAGCTTGAAAAAAGGAACGTTGATGAGTAAGCAGGAGTTGCAATTTTACGTTGAAGCCTCTACTGGAACTCACTTAAACCATTTGAAACGGTATCTTGTTGGACTGCATAAAAGGAAGGAGGTAGATGAGGCGCCTTAATCTCCTTTCATTTTTGTGTTACTTATTTACCAAAAATGCCGTTGCACTCTCATTTGTATTTTACCTCTTCGCTTACTTCAAAAATTCGCACAAAAGAAGTGCGACAAAGTCAGTGTGTCGGTTTGTAGACCTTCGCTATATTTTACCCCTAATTAACCACCCGGTTTACTTTTATTTCTCCATAAATGATAAAATTAATGGGACCTAGACCGCATCTAGGCCTGTGTCGGTTTAGTGCCGAACCGAATTCAGTCCGCATGTAGACAGCAAATGAAGTTATTCGCGCGGTTGATAGGCATGCATTACCGTTTCCAACCTCAGCACAGTGGAATGGGGAAAACACATTGCGGATGGAGGGCAGTAATAAATTACCTTTTGCTCGAAAACTTAACAACCTCTTCTTATTCAAATTTTAGTCAGTGGTGACAATGTCCATTAAGGAAGGCAATAAGTTAATTCAAAGGCTGTAAATGGGGTTTTCATATCAACCTCATCCTTTGTGAAGGCGATTTCTCAGTTCACAAGATGCATTTTGCTAACCAATCCCTTTAATCTTGTCTTCTTGCTTGAAATGAAAACAACTGTTGCCACACTGTTAAAGCTACAGTAGGCTTGAGAGTTTCAGCTGGAGTGCTTAAACGACAGAAAAGCGTTTTTGGGTGGATATGGACACGACCAACTTCGAGAGGTTGTAGGCGAATAGTGTCTCTAGAAAAGGGAGCACGAAGATATCGTTTTGGAAGAGGGCTGTATTTTGGCCACAAATCACCAACCACTTTAACTCACATAAAGATATGCAACTTGACAATCTTTTTATGCAAACTTTCCTTCTTCATCATTTCCATATTTAGCATCTGTGTTAATTTTTAACAAATACACAAAGGAAAGTAGGTTACTTTTTTTACAAAACTAACTTCGTAAGCAAAGACAGTCTTCCTCACTTGGTTTACGGCCAAAGGCAAACTATCAGACTCCTCAAACGGGCAACAGTCTTTTGACATTAATTTCGCATACGCCAAAACCACTTTTTCGATCGCAGAAGTTGCGAAGTCAATATTGTCATCATATTTTAGGCAGCATAAACAAGGGGTAGGCTTCATGGACAAGAAAAAACGAACTAAACAGGTACACAAGTGAGCTGATCGCCCACATCAAAATGTCCGACTTTTAAGTTTTTAACTAAGTTAGCCTAAAACTCAATAAGACATCTAAAAATACCGTATGGACTTTACTGCACACTCACATATCGCCTTGGCGAGCCACTGTAAGGGTATCTCGACGCTACTTCTTTCTTGGTGCTAAAGTAAGGCTTTTTTCTGCTAGACGCATTCACATACGCTTCTGACGTTGGCCGGGATAATGTTGGATAAGTTGTTTTCGTACTAGATAACTACAATAATCTGGTCGCTTTCGACGAGAACGGTGACGGTGTCGGCCAGTACTTGATTTACAATTACGCTCGCGACCTCTACTCCGGTGAGTACCAGTACAGACTGGTGGGAGACTACAAGAACTCAAAGCTCTCCATGCGCTACCGTCCAATTTGGCCCGGAGGCCAGTCCAAACTTGTGCCCTCCAGCCAGTGCTCCGAGGAGTGCCCGTAAGTCTTTTGTCTTTGGCCGGAACAATTGTAAAATATAGCAACAGTAGAACGAGTTTAATCCAATACCAGTTTTACGGCCAGCTTCAAGCGTACCTTTGGCTGGCAATTGATTGAGTTGTCTATGCCCTTCAATCGCTTGTAGGTGATTTGTTGGGATCACCAAAGCGCATTAAAATACGAATGTCAATTATGTTGCATGCCGTCCACCAATTTACGGCACAACATGCAAAATTCACTAACAATTCTTATGCGCGTCTACCCATGAAAGATCTATGCGATCCACGCACTGAATTGCGTTGTGGGTGTCTGAGCTTTGCATCGAAGTAGACCTTTTAATCCTGTTAAAGGTGTCTGGGGGCATCAAAAACAGCTATCATGCTTCTTTCACATAACGGTACTTGAGATTTGCATTTCTTCCCATCAAAAGGACTGTCAGAAAGTTGTAGTTGCACAGCAGTTCACTTATCCAATCAAAGGATTATGGGAAAATTTGAGGCACCTTTTGGAAAGTGACAAGAGGAACCCGGTCTGTGTCTACCTGTCCAGGTTCATTTTATCGTTTCTAAACACCATCATTGAAACAATTTATTTTGACTAAAATATTTTCAATGTTGTAAAGTCCTGTCTAAAAATTTTATGAAGGCATTCGTAATCAAGTATTCATTAGCTTCGAATTGGCTTAGCAAAGTACTCAAACACTACTTTATGTTTTCGTCAACATTATAGTGTTGGGTAGAACCGCCTGATTCCATTCATGAGAAGTCGCCAAATCTCAATAGCTCGGTACATTCAGCAAATTGTTTACACTTGGGATGTTTCAGTGAACTGCCTCCTGTACATTGAAATAAAATGTCTGGTCATTATTCCCAAGGTCGATTTGCGATGGACAGGATTCAGTCAGTGCTGCTTTCTGTAAACCGTGTAGATAGTGATCGGGGAATCAGCATCGTTGCTGTCTCCACAATGCCAACAATCAGTTGAGTCGAATCGTTTCACACAAAATCAGTCGTACCTAACAAAAGTAGTCATTTCATTCATTGAAAAGGCTCCACAGACAATACTCTTTACACACTTGCAGAAGTTGCAATTCGTTTGACTGCAAAGAGAGAGTTGGACACATCAGGAGTTATTTGGCATGAGACCAAGAACAATTAATTTGTTTTGCTTTGGTACATTTATTTGGACCGTCCAGACACATTTTGGTTTACGTTCCTTCGAAAGAAGCATGTTTGCGCCAATTCCTTGAGAAGTTACTGATGCACTTTTCTGTGTTTCTGGGTGTCCACACAGCCTGACAGTGTTGGCCGACATACAAGTAGTTACTGCAGTCGCTGAACTCGGGAACGACCTGCTATTCTACTATTACGGTACCCTTTACTCTGGACTGGAAAAATATGGAATATATTGGGACAAACGATTTTACTCCCTACCATCAGTTTTAATAAAATGTCTCATTTTAGCAATTGGAAGTATTGGCATGATTTCCAAAATTGATACCTTAACTTTGTCCTACGTGATTACAGAATGAGTAAAAGGAGCAACGAGATGCTTATGTGTTCCATCCTCAAACTGATTGAGTCCAAGGATCGCTTGAAAACCCGCTCGCAAGAACCTCTTCGGGAGTAGGTGTGAAGAGATGGTAAACGCTGTCAGCTTGGTTACGTAGAAGCAGAGATGAATAAAAACCTCTTGGGATGCTCCTGACCGCCTTCACTGAAGAGGCCTCTTGAATACCTCCCATATCGACGATAGTCTAATTGGTTGTCACTATTTTCCGAGGCGTAAAACTCCCTGTACAGTAACGCGGTCGAGATGCATTTAAAATGGTGATAATTTTATAGTGACTCGACATCGTGCGAAAAATGCAATTGTAATTTGTTACACTGTTTACACTTCTCTAAAGTATCAGACAATTTTCCAAATGTAATGTCGACAGAAATGAAGCGCAACCTTTTTAACAAAGTGCTAATTTTGACGTAAAAGCTCGAAGCAACAATTTGTAAACCAGATACTTTGTGTCAACTAGTGTTCATTTTTAGTCTTGCCAAATACTCAGGCAATAATAATGTGGAAAAGGTTTTACGGTTGGGTTTTACGTTCGATACTCGAAGCAGGAGCACAAGGCATCGTCCGTGCGATTACTTCGCGTTGCTGATGCTTGCCACGAAGCCAGGCATGCATATGCACGGCAAATGGGTCTCTTGTAACAGCCCCTATAAAGTATGCCGTTTAGTTAAGTGTCTCGATTTTATTGGCAGTCATTTCAGCATTCCTGCCATTTCGCACGTTTTCGCTCCGACTACTCACGTCTGTGTATTGGCACCCAGCCTCCTTCAAGCACACCTCTTTGTGCAGCTCTAGCAGGCTAAACACTTGGCATTCTCGAATAGTCGAACTAGTGACAAACAAGCGCGTTGAAGAGCAACTTTGGTCTGGTGATACGGCTCCATGGGCATTTGTTCCCACCTCCCTTAATCACCTCTTTCTTACGGGCAATCTTCCGCTCACCATCCATTTATAGTCGAGCTCACATTGAATGGTTTTTTGCATTTAGCTTTTCGTAACTTTTGCTTCTCAACTTTAGCCATTAATAAGATAGTGTTAGCACAGTCACGTTATTTTTATCCTCACTGTAACTCTCATTAGAAGCAGCAAGAACAGCATACGTAGGTGGAGAAAATGCCTCGTGGAAGGAATCCTTTCGCTCCTCCAGTTCATAATTACTATCGTTTGCACTATACTGCGTACCCGTTTTGGAAGATTTTATCAGAAAGGAGGAAGTTGAGAGACAGGCAGGCGAAGTCAAGTGCAATGCAATTATCGCCTTAGCATTAGGCAAACAATTTCAACTGTCAACTTTCTTGCGAACTCCGTGCTCGACATTGACGCTCCCAAGGTGTACAACAATCGCAAAATTACAAAAAAAGATTTACAATTTACAATTTAAGCAGTTTAATTTAATCACAATATACGCAGTGGATTCCCCTCATGCACAAGTTAAATTGAAGAGACATCCAAGTTACCAATGGTTTCAGCTTTGGTGCTTGCAACCGCACCTCGCGTCTCCCGAATTCCGCAGCCAAAATCCGTCTAAGTGCCATCGGACGGGATAAATTTGCCAGTTACCCTAAAGCTTCTGTTGTTGCCAACGCCGAGTGGTACCAGAAATAACCACAATCAAACAATGTCAAAGCTGCTGATCCACTCCCTTTGGGCAACTTTTTTGCCGTTCCTGGGACCAGCGTACTTGTAAGACATTAGAAAAAGGCTATAAACAAAAGGGGTAAAGAACAAAAGTGATTGAAGGCTTAAATAGATTCCAGGCAAAGGCATAAAAATCTGCTAATAGTTCTGATGCCACTCCCCGCCTTACATGGTCGTTTCGACCTTCTCCTTGATTTCCAGACGATAGATGAGGAAATTTACAGTTACAGCGCCAACATTTATGAAACGCACAGTGAAGTAAGCAAGAAATGGGAACCACTGAGTGAGCACATTTTGACAAGCCTTCGTCATTCATTTTCTCCAGTTACATTTTTTCTATTTTCCTCTTAATAAAAATTCATGTTTCAGCAAAGTTTATTGCCAGTGATAGGCATAAAGTCGCTTTATGGTCAACCCACTGAATAATTCGAGGGTCGCTCTGAACTTATCTCTGATTTCTTCACACAAATCATGCTTTTAAGGCATTGCTCAGGCTTTATTTTAGCGGATTTGCAGAATCTATGCAAACTTGCTACGAACTTTTTTAAAAATAATACTGCTTCTCCCTCATGTGGTGGGTGGCGAAGTGGCATTCCACTGATCTCAGCCGCACTTGGGCAGGTGTACTCACTGAAGCAGCAAGTTCAGTTGTAATGTTGAATTAACTTTGCAAATTCCGTCCAGGCGATCGAATTAGCTGCTACTTTGAAGAACTCTACCGCCTGCACGTGCCATGCGTTCAATGCAGGCGTCATTCCATTGCTCCGCGACAACCGACCTAAGAAGGCGGTTCCTCCATATGCTGCATTCCAAAGAAGCATACAATAAAGGCAGTTGGAGTTTTTACATGTACAGTTTGTAGTGACATGTCAAAATGGATGCGAAATTGGAAAGGTTGTCGTCAATGCATTTTCTCCACGTCGTCATCTCACTTTTTGATGCAGAGATGTTCAATTCCAAAATATATGATTCAACGTTAGCATTCGTAAATACTTTTCTGCCTTACATAGTGGATTACCATATGATTAAAATCTCCTTTGTCTGTACCGTTACCGACCCCATTGAGCACGTCTGACATGAGCAGGAGCGCCGTGAAAGTCACCTTCGTGATGATCACGTACATTTCTGTCGGAGCATCAACCGTGTCTCAAACAGCCTCAAGTCATTTACTTAAGATTTTGCAGTATCAAGATCCGCCGACATCACCTCTAGATTCCTTCTTGAGAAATGTCCTCCTTCTTTGTTTTGCAAACGCATTTGTGTAGCCTAAGGAAAGTATTATTCCAACTAAAAACTTGATTTCTAACCAAAGATGTTAATACCAAGGTAAGATTTTAAGTCTTTGCCTCTACATCTTTGGTCGTGATTGCTAAAGTTCTAAAAAGAGATGGGTTAAACGATGAAGGACGTCCCTCCAAGGGTCATTCGTTGTGCCTCCTTCAGCCACCTCAAACCACCACTTAGCCGTCACTTTCTCATATGCTTCGAAGAGCTGGGTGACTGCTTTTGAAGAACAACTGGCAGCTACCTTCAAACAAATGCGAAGTTAAAGATCTAGATAATGAGATGTCATAAAAATGAAGGGACTTTTAGATCTGCTTCCAATCTAGCTTCAATTTTATTTGAAGTTCTTCACCTTTACTGTCTGCCAATTCCTTTAAAGCAATCTTTCTCAATGCTCTCACCCACTTGGAGTGTGGAGGACACTAAAATGTAGTGGAATGGCATTGATGAATCAAACGAACAACGCAACAACCAATTGCTGTAAGCAGTCTTTTGAAGTTTTCTTCAGTTTATCTCTTTCTTGAGATCGAGCATTTGATTGGCCAGATGCATCCTTTTGCAGGGTGGAAAGGTCAGCCTCAGTGACTGTTGTACCGCCTAACCCAACTCCCAAGCACAGCACTGCTTTACAATTGTTCATTTTCTGTATGCCAACTTCGCAAAGCCCGCTTTAAACTAGTAATATGTTTTTTTGTAGAGTTGGACTTTTTTAGCCACTGCTGCTGCTGCTGCTTCCGCTAAAATGTCTAGCGTTTCTTTAAGTCGCATTGTTGTTTCACCACAATCACTCAAAGGTCAAAGTGGGAAATGAACGAATGGCGGTCAAAAAATGAGATTAAAAGTTGAACTCACAACTGCACAACTTAAGTGTGAGGTTTTCTGCCAGCATTTTTTGCTTACTCAGCAGAAATTTGGTTACCTGTCCAACCATAGAATGTGCACTGATACGGACGATTTGGGATGTTGCAGCTCGACATTCCACAGAGTATATTTTGGTTCAGTCTTCCGTAGCACCAAATGAGTGCATTGACTTCGCATTATTTCAGGTTAAGATAGAAGCAGCCATTTGTTACATGCTCTTGTAGTTCATAGGACAATTTACACCCAAGAGGGATTCAATTCATTTCCACCATTTGACAGATAGATAGCGTACATTTATGCTGCCCAGTGATTCTTAGAGTTGGGCGTGCCAAAAATTTTATGGCAAAGTGTGTATCAAATGCCAAAATTGAGGGCTTTCGTGTTTACTGATCGAACCGCTGCATTTGATGCAACAACTCGTCATAGTATTGCAGGCTTTCACAATAAAGGCCATTTAAAGTTGACTTATGAATGGGATTATTCCTAATCCACCAGTGAAAAAGCTGTGCACACAGAGACATGAATGTCTAATTTGGGGAATCGCTCAAACCTAAAAGCAAATGGGGTTGAGACACACCACATCGATGCGCTATGTAAAAGGTTAAACACAGAAGTGTTTAACACAAAGTTCGGTGTCTCAGTCTTGTGTATTGCAGATCCACATGAATGTTAGATGTTAAGTGATTAGTAGCAACTCCGTGTGCCGGATTAGTACAAGAAGGCACAGCCGAACGCAGTGCCTTGAAGTCGCCCCATCCCGAAACTCAGGCTCCAACAATCCGCGGTGTTAACTAAGGCCAAGACCATTCACCACAATTACAGTGGATTGTGTTTAATGCGGCTCATTCGTCAATCCATCTAAGGGGAACTTGGTCGTGGACTCTTAGCTTAGAATAAGTTAAGTTTCGTATTTGAAAAGGGCGGAGTTATGCAGGGAAGCACGCAAGCATTGAACTCTGAGGTCACCTGATCAAAGTGGGGCAGTAATACCAACTTTTAGGTAGTAATGCAATCATTTTTGTAGGTTTGGCTCGGTGCGCAAGTACAGCAAGAAGCAGCAGTGCTGTTGGACGTGCGAGGAGTGCCAACCGAACCAGATAATCGCCAATCTGACGCACTGTCAGACCTGTGCCGACCAGTACTGGCCCACCCTCGATCGAAGGACATGCGAGCTGCTTGAGGTGCGCTTCTCTTCTTTCCGCTTTACGCCTTTACCAAAACTTCCTCTACGCTGTTTTGTTTGCACAATCTTTTAAGTAAGTTTAAATGAAGCATCGCATTTTAGTACAACTACGATCAGGTCGTGATGATCAACCACTTACTTGTACGTCCCGTGGTTGATGCGTTCATTGGAGTGAGAGCTTTGTTTCAGTTTCAATTTAATAATTCGAATGTAAGTCTCGATCCGGGCGAAGGTGAATTCAGGATGTAATTATGTTAGCTTCCAACTTTCCCTTCCTGTTACATCGAGGAATGCACAAATGCGTGGTATTACTGCTGAAAGGGAATTTATTTCTCACTACAAGGCAAATATCAAATCACCTCTAAAAATATTATGACACTTCCTTTATCTACGTAAATATGACTGCAAAATGCTGTCATGGTAACACTCGGCACGTGATCACTTTTGGAGAGCATTTAGACTGCCTTCTAGAAACTCAAGTACTTTCCTGTGATTAAGTAATTTACACTCCCATTGTTACACATACACATGTATATATATATATTTGAGTACTTATGTGTAGTGAATTTATAAGCTTACTTCAGTACATTCTGTGGTCAAATGAATAGAATTGCAGCATCATCTCTGGCATCCACACCTCACTTTTGAATTGTCTTGCGCAGACGTCTTTCGTTGGTAGTAACGGCTTTAGATCAGAGGTGGTATGCAGGGAAAGGCGGTGGATCCGCGCAACTTTTACGACGTAGGGCTAAAAGATTTACGAAATGAACTTTTCAGGTAGCATTAATTATCAGTAAATTTAGTGGACAAATCACTCCATCCAACGTCGAAGCGAGGAGGAGAGTTTAATGAGGTTTTAACGACGATGCAAGTTGTGGTTGTGGAAGAGAATGAGGTGTGATGGTTGATACGGTTGGTGGTCGTAAGTGGCTTGATTTTATGCTAAGTAATCACTTTCCAATGCGGAATGGCTCTTTTCTAGACTTTCAAATTCCCCACCTAATTATTCATAATAGTTAAAACGAGATCGCAAATGTCTCAAATACTTCTTCTAGAAAAAGGCGAACTCGAGGCTCAACCAATTGCCAAACAAATCCACCACCACTCTAGTCGCTCACCTCATAATGGGCGTTATCCTGCATACTGTTCAAGACCGGCAAAGGTTACGTTGGGCACTTATGAAACAATTTTTGCCCATTTTAAGTGAGGACAGCAAAGTGCTAGAAAAATAAACACGATCACGTCATTGTCTTTTCCTTCCAAGGACCTTAAAAGCAGGCTGGCATCAACCTCTACAAACGGATGCTGATGTGGCACTGGCGTGATACATTGAAAGGTCACCTCTTAGGCTTAGAGCAACCCTACAACTTCGTTTGACCGTAAATTAGTCTTTAGATGCACCAAAAACACCAAATACTCAATGCTTGGAGTCACTTATTTTCAAACTGCGACACTTTACAACAAAGCATCCATTCAGAGGGTTGAGGAGACTACTTCAAGCCCTTCACTTGCTTGGAAAGCCAACTCAGTTGACGATGTAAAGCTGCTTTGTTTGTAGTGAACATGTCGACTTTACCGGTTTTAGCAAAGAAATTACTTTGCTTTTCCGACTACTTAAAGGCAACACAGAGCGTCAGGTGGTGGAAGAAAATGCCAAGTTCTTCTTAGAATAAAAAAGGAAAATGCAACTCCCTCATCTCTCACTTTTTTCTCATGAAAAATATCATTTGATTAGATGAGTAAAACGATTTGAAGGTGTGCTTACACGCACCGTGCGGGGATTAAGAGGCGGTGCAAGCAATACCACCGGATTTGTCGATGAGGTTCAGCCATTAAAGCAGCTCCTATTTGAACATGCTATTATCCGCGGGCGGAAAAGCAATGTCGTCTTCAAGGTTGTTTCACTTTCTCAGGCAGTCTATGCAACTAGCGAGGCACGAAAATTGGAGGAAACAGAAAGTATGCTTTTTATTGGCTGTTTGAAGATTCAAACCCAAGCTTTACCCGGTGGCTGGCGAGGGAGGTACCGCTACGCGCTGTGCACAGACGAATGAAGCGTAAATGTTGTTTCTTGCGTAAGAGAACACTCCAGGACATTTCATACTGCCTATTTATACGGCTGTTCGTCGCCCTCTCCCTCCCACTTGCTCACCCTTTGTCTCTGTCTGTCTGTCTGTCTGGACGAATGCGATCACCGTAATGTAACATGTGCAAACAACATTATTTGGCTTGATCAACTTGTTACTCTAAATGCTGCACCACATTAAACATTAATTAGCCTTCACCGCTAAACTGAACCTCATGGACTGTCCGAGGATAGTGGGATTTGGGATTTATGGTTCTTTGACTGCCTCCCTTCGAGCCCGAATTGCGATGTTGATAAAGCCCTAAAGTTCATCGAGGCACAACGCGACCGACTGTCCATTTTGCAGTAGTATGCATGGTAGGAAACGAACTCTAGGCAGGTTTCATGCTCTAGAAGGGGGTTTCACTTCTCTCCCTTTATTATTTAATTGCTCTTTATAGCTGTTCGTAACTGATGCTTTACAGATTAGTTTCGGATTACTGCGTTCACCCACTTCGAACAAAATGATCTGCGCAGTTATTAAGCACATTTTCTCCTTCAAAGTAATTTTAAAGCAGAAGCCACGTGTGCCAAAAAAATGTTCACTTATCTTAGTTCTCCCCGTGAGAGGTGTTATGAGTTGTTCATCTTTAAGGAGGGTAAATTTAAGCACAAAAGTAAGCTAAACGATTCCATTTCATTTGCAGCTGCACTACATAAAGGTGAGCAGTTGGTTCGCCATATTTCCGATGGTGCTCAACTTCATTGGAATCGTGGCCACAGTGGGAGTGATAGTGACACTGGCATTGTATTCGGAGACACCGATAGTGCGGGCAACAGGTCGAGAGTTGACCTACCTCCTACTCTCGGGTTGTCTGCTCTGCTATCTCTCCTCCCTCATTCTCCTCGTGCCACCGAACCCTGCAGCCTGCGCTATCCAGCGAGTAGGCATTGGGTTGGGTTTTGCTATTATGTACGCCTCCCTTTTGACAAAGACAAATCGTTTGGCGCGCATTTTTGATGCCGCCAAGCGCACTACCAAACGCCCCGCTTTCATCTCCCCCCGCTCCCAATTGGCCATCGCGGGAGGCCTTGTAGGTCTACAATTTGCCCTTTCCGTAATCTGGCTCGGCTTCGACCCGCCTTCAACTCGCGTCGATCCTCTCCAGCCCAATTTTCTAGTACTTCGCTGCGCAATCAAAGATAGCAGCATGGTCACCTCCCTTGCCTACATTATGCTCCTCATTGTTGTCTGCACTATTTATGCTGTGAAGACTCGCTCCATTCCTGAAAACTTCAACGAATCACGTTTCATTGGTTTCGCCATGTACACAACCTGTATCATCTGGCTGGCTTTTGTGCCCATCTACTTCGCCACCATGAGTAGTTTTGAAGTAAGTCACCATTTTGCTGACTTGTTAATCTTCGCTCCCAATATATCCGCATTGCTCGGTGGCTTTGTAGGAACCACCCATTTGCATAACTTTAGCGATATTAGTGTGATCGCTTGCCTTATCATCAACGCACCAAATCATTCTTGTGTATGGATGAAGGTAGAAATTTTCTGCCCGGCGTTCTGCGGTCCTCTTCCTGGTCTGGCACTCCACTTACACAGACAAACTCAACTCATAGTCAACTGCATTGGTAAAAATTAAGAAGATCCATTTTTCACGATTTTAATCGGCGATATTCTCAGCAATATTATTTATGCATTTTAAATTTTTACTAACGTTTAAATGCCCCAACTTTAGCGTTAAAACAGCGTGTCATGGTGCACACTAATGAATAATGCGTGGGGGAAACAAGACGAATTGCAGAGGCAACCGTCAAGAGGACTGCGGTCGAATTTAATTTTAGTTTAGTATTCCCCTGAAGGTGGTTTTGGAGCGGGCGGAAGGAGGGATTAGAGAGAAGATGGAGCCGTTTTGATGAAACAAATTAGCTACTCGAAGGCACTGCCACACACATAAAAATCTGAAGTATTTTTTTGCAAAATAACTTTATTAAATGTGCACTTCGTTACTATTTTGGCCGGGAATATGCACCTATGTCGAGCAAATGGTCATCGAAATTGGGTCCCCACGTTTCTCCAACTTAAGCCCAGTGAGTTGTGTGGCGTTGTTTTCCAAGTGTAAGGCAACGGAGATTTTCTTTTTCGCCCACTTCGTGCTTCTCAATTACGGGCCCCCATTCTTCCTCTCCTCTCCATTAGATCCAAATATCAACACTGTCGGTCTCGGTGAGCTTAAGCGCAACCGTTACGCTGGTCTGCCTGTTTGCACCCAAGGTCTACATCATTTACTTCCATCCGGAAAAGAATATACGAAAACTCACAATGAATAGTGGCCCTGGAAGCAAAAGTCGCTACGGTGAGTTCTCCGCCTCTTAATTTGTCTCGCCTGTCTTTACTGTATTACGCTTTTGTTTTCGGTGCTTTTTTCGACTAAAGACCAAAAAATTGTTTAATCTTCTGTTATTATGCGAAACTAGGTTAATTAATGGCACCGTATGAATAATGGATGAACTTTCTGGTTTGGCTGTTAAATACAACACAATTGTGATGTTTTCTTTCCTAAAGTAGAAGTCTTCAGTCACATCTGTGTGGGTGGATGGGTGGTGTGGAATCACTGAACGACAAATTTTTTGTAACCGCATTGGTAAAACAACTTGGATTTGGAACGCATTCAGTCATTGGTTTACTCCTCATTGCGGTCTTAGTGGGCTAAAAGTAGGTGGAAATGGGGAAGTAGGCGCCTCATCCCTTTCCCATTTATTCTCAAAGGCATTCTTTTGCTTCTTGCACGTCTGAGTCAGTAAGCACTGAGTGAGTGTTCTGATTACGAAGGCAGCACAAATTTGTGCGAAGAGGCTTGTCATCACCTAGACGCCTTGCACACTTTACTAAGATGACGTTGAACTTTTTCTTAAATTACATGCATCTATTGACTGTGTGCTTTGTTTCCTTTTTATTTTCGACAGAACCGACATGTACGTTTGTATTTACCGTTTTACGTAGTGCACCTCAAAATGTATGCATGCTTCATGTGCTTCTTTATTTGAATGCACCTCGGTCCTAACCCATCTTGACTGCAGACATAAGTTTTTGGCAGTTTTGTGGGTTGTTGTGCCTGGTGATCAGCATACCACTGTCAGACAAAACCATGCTATGCAAACTTGTACGCCTCTAAAAATAGAAGTTAGAAGAGAAATAAGTTTAGGCCTGAAAACACCCTCTCTTTCTCTCTCTCTTCCCTCCCTCCCTCCCTCCCTCCCTCCCTCTCTCCTTCCCTCCCTCCTCCTCCTCCTTCTTGCTGATTCCTTTTGACAGCTACCTGCAAGTCTCCGCCAGAAAGCTACGGCAGGCAAAGCTCCAGCATGGGAACGGACTGTGTGATCACCAACACGGTGGTCACACAGCCCACGCAGTCCTCCACCACTCTGAAGATCGTCTCAAAGACCCTAGATTCTCGGAGTGACCGTAGTAAGCTCGACGTCTAGTTTCATTTTTGGTGCCTAACGGTGGGAGGGTTAAGGGTCACCTGGATTGGAATCACTTTTAGTGATCGGTAAATAAGCTACAGCCTCTGGCCTGTCTAAAAGGCGCAAAAACATTTAAATTCTCAGTGGCGCAAGTGATTCATACCTTGTGCTTCACGTAGTTTTACGGAAATTAGTGAAACAAGATGCCTCATATTTCCAGAGGTTTATTTTTACACCTAACCATTTTGGCTTCACAATCAAGCTGCATCAACTTCTTGTTCAGTAATAATAAAGTGGAAACACAAAAGCAGTAATTGCATTTCAATTATGCTTTTCATATTTATGTATCAATATTTAACAAACAACTTGTCTTGTGTGCTGTAAAAACGACAATTTTTGCCTTCTTTCAGGCCTGGACAAGAAGGCATTTTTAAATAATTAAGTCGCTCTTTTTTGGTACTTACCAAATTAATAAAATTTTCATCAGTTTTCAACGTTTTACTTTGCTACTCGAAACACAACTGAACGAATTCCTCAAGAAATCATAAACTAGGTGATGGAAATAAATCGCCACTTCCCTCGCTATTACCATGCAAGAATTGAATCTTATTTCAAGCTCTTCTTCTGTTCTCAAAGTGGATGACTTCGATGAAGTTTCTAAACGACCCCTTCTGAGTGTAACAAAGGAGACGACAACAGTGAATGCTTTAATTCCACGGCGCAACTCCAACGACTTTGCAGAGCCAATAATCGTTAACAGATCGTTCACCAGACTGCAACCAGGTCCCGCAGTTCCCGTCGATGGTGACCATCCGATAGGAGGCAGCAGGCCGCCTGCCTACCAGGCGATCGTTTCACCGATGCCCCTCCTGCTGGACAACTTGGCTGTGAGCATCGCCTCGGTGCCCGCTTGCCTCTGTGAAGAGGAGGAAAGCGCGGAAGAAACCAACACATCAGCCTCCTCCTCCATTGCCTACGGCAATGAGCGCTGCTACTCTGGCCGACCTACTTCAAGTGAAACATCTATCAACGCGCCAGATTGCAAAGACGATGACGCTGACTCCATCAACCCCTATGTCTACCATAATAGGATCATGCAGGTCACTGTTACTCCCGCCACCACCAGTGTAGTTCACAACGGCCGACTTGCCGCCGAAACCGACTCAATAGGCGATCTATGGCAACAGGTAAAGCCACAGGGCATGGGTGGGGCTCGCCACTGCACTGTGGTTGAACAGAACACGTGTTTCACTAATGCCGCAGGTTTTACTTACGACATTATCTCAGCAAGTAGGCGAATGGATGAGGAAAAAATAAGCTCCGTATAGGAATCTACTGTTCTTCTTCTTGAAGCTCCTATGGACAATACTAACACGCGGGAGGGTTAAAGCTCCATTCCACTATGCTCAATCGTTTCATTCATACATGTATGTACACATTTTTGCAGAGAAATAGAAAGTTGTATTCTGTTTCTAGTGTGTTTTCATTAGATATTAAACAGCATTTTTGTCTATGAAATGTGTGCAAGACTGGCACGACTTTTGTCAAGCCCAGCATTAATGTCAAACAAACTTGTAGAATCGAATCTATCAAATCTGGGCACAAAGCCAACAACTTTTTACAGCAAACTTGCATTAAGTGGAATTAGGCACTTCAGTAATGCCTGTGTCTACTTAATGTGATCCGTTGTATGAGTTTTAATGTCGACAAAAGGCAAATTTAATCAACCCATCGTAGGTAGTGATAAGTGAACAACTAGAGGCAGGAAGGTGTTAAAAGAGTGAAACGATAAAAAGCTTTCTTTAGTTAACTTTACATTCTCTAAAAATAATTGTCACAGGGTCCATAATGCACTCCTCGCGGTGGCTATGGCACAGACTTAATGAGAGAGTCACGATTTCATAAATTCGTAGGTTGGCCACACGAGGACTTCTATCAATCAGCGAGACCACTTAACAGAATGAGTCAAATGCGCGCACAACCCGCACGCAGCTTTAGCCTCCTCCATCACCCACTGTCCAAGTTTGATCCGTCACTAAATGGATGGACGCTTATAAACCGTTCGTCTAATGGTCTGATGCGACTTCTTCCTTTCTCACGAAAAATTGCCCTAATTGCTCTTGTTTACGCAAGGGATACACTTACTGGTAATTAAAGCTAAGGAGTAAGGTAAGCTGAAAGATTCAGAGAAGGTTCGCATCGTAGTAGACAACGCTTCAAATTGATTTATTCGACTATTAAGGAAGAGATGCCGATGCTAAACATAAATCTCCACTGCCTAGTAATTATTGCGGAGACCCAATCCTTCGCTGAAATTGCAACGGAGGAAGTGTTGGAAGAATGTGTTTGTGAATTAAAGTGAAACTGAGGGAATGTTGCAACGATCCCAATCCGTCTCCCAAGATCAAGTAACAATCTACAGAAACTAAAATGTCGGCCTCATTCTACCACTGAAAGTCATCCCTCGAAGCTACAACTTGGTCCATGTCCAGCTTCAAAACCCAAAAAGGGAATTTAATTCTCTAAAACTGCCAGCTATTTAATTCATGTGTTCGTCTTGAGGATCGCATTGTATTCGGATAAAAAGACGGATCGAATGACGGTCTACAACAATAGTAAATTTAAAATAGCTTCGTGGGATTAATGATTGCTCCCATCACACACTGCTGCCCATTCACCATTTAGGAGAGAATTGAAGGAGGCGCTACATGTTAACTTAATAAATAGGGCAACTCAAGGTTCTGCAAGTAGCTTTATAATGGACTCCCACCGACGATTACAGTACGAGGTCGCCCAATGTGCTGTTAGCAGCCTTCGAGAGAACTGATCAAACTGTGCATTAAACAGTAGCTGTAGTTTATAACTCCCCTATTTGACAGTGTCACAGAAGACCACATTCTTATCATTTATGGCTTCAAGTTTGGCATTAACGAGCATAAATCATAAAGGTTTTCATTGTAGATTGAGTCAGCTCACTTCTGCCACCAATTTGTAGCTTTGAGCCTTCTCTTAAGTACCTATAATCAAAATCTGTAAGAGCAGAACCCCGATGATGCACAGAAAGGAAACGAATGTATCAACAAGGCTAAATGTAGGCTATTTGAAACACTTAACCATACAAATCTGCAATAGAAGCTAACGAAGTGTCGACCTTAGTAGTGTAATGTCAGTGTCTGGCGTTGGAATAACAAGCTGGGGTGCCAGTATTCAAATCATGCTCAGATCCCATCAATATTTGGCGCTGCAGCTTAGGCATTTTTGGGAACGAAGTTGATTATAGAGATGTGCATTAGCGATTTTGAAGTAAACCAAGGAGAATCATTTCATAAGTGCAGCGTCTTCCATTTCGATCTCAGGCCCGCACACGTGGGCCTTCATAAGAGGAGATTTGCCCAATATACTTTTACTGGGCATCTAATGCAGCGTTCATAAGAAGTGGTGGTAATATTGCGAGAAATCTTCAACGTTAGTCGAGGGAAGGCTCCGCACACTGCTCCGACACAAGATTTTTACTGAACAATCGCATATACTTGTGATCACTGTGATACTTTGTTTGTGTGGCTACCGGACATTTGGCGGTGACTTTAGAATTTGTCCGGCCCCTATATACGTGGGCTGGCCTTTGGGCCGTGGTCGGGCCTCATTTGCCCTGTCGTCCTCGGAATGCATGTTATCAACCTCACTAATGCCTTCTTCCGCCCTAGGGGAAGCCTCGGGATGCTACAATCACAATTCAAACACGGTAATATGCATTACACCAAGATTCTTATTGGAAAACAATGGCGACAAAGTGGACGTGCGCGTGCAAAATGAGAGGACTTGCTTAGAGAAGGAAGTGGAGCAGACACTGATTGATTTCTTTTACATTTTTTCGGACATTACGTTAAAATTATTAAAAAGATAAGAGGTACAAGTAGTATTTGATAGGGTAGGGCCAACGATTTATGAGAAGATGACCTGCTAATAGTTTAAAAAGCTCGACAGGGGGTATACACAATGTAATGCATTGTTTATAAGACCACTTGACGTTCTACGGTCACTTTAGTATTTGTCTGTCCCCTGTACTCGTGGACTGGCCTTCGGACTATACTCAGGCCCGTTTGCTCAGTTTTCTTCGGAATACATGCATCCAGCCACACTTACTGCCCTCTATCACCCCATAGGAAGTCTTGGGGCGCTACACACTAAGCCTTTAAAGCCCATCAACTGTTGACTGCCAGTGTAGCGTCCCGAGGCTTCCGATGGGGTAGTAGAAGGTATAAGTGAGGTTGATACATGTATTCCGAAAACTACAGGAGAAATGGGGCCTGAGCTTGGCCCGAAGACCAGCCCGCGTGCACAGGGCCTAGACAAGTTCTAAAGTGACCGCCAAACGTCAGATAGTCACATAAACAAAGCATTACAGCCAGCCATAATGTTACAGTATCGAAATACAGCATAAGGGACAACTTATTTTTCAAGGAGCGCATGAAATCGAGTGTGTATTTCGTCCCAGTGTGTCATGAACATCTGTAAAAAATAATGCTAGTAAACAAAAAAATTCGTGGCTTAAGATGTGGGTGCCGGTGGAAAGCAACATTTAGTGCTGATTTTTGTAATTTGTGAGAATCTTTGGTTTGTTTAAGTTGGTTGGATGTAAAGGTAGTATTTTGGTTGTGGCTGTGTTTTCTTTCTTGTTTGCCGCGGGGATGAGTCAGGCCCTTCAGAAATATGAAAAGTTAGAGAAAATAGGGGAAGGTACTGGAGAAATTTCCATGTTTACATTTATGAGGAACCTATGGGAAGGTTTACAAGGCTAAAAATAGGGAAACTCATGAGGTTGTCGCGCTAAAACGGGTACGTCTAGAAGATGATGACGAGGGTATCCCCAGCTCAGCTTTCAGGGAGATATGTCTATTGAAGGAGCTCAAGCACAGGAATATTGTGAGGTAGTTGTCAACTATTTAGTGCTTTGGAAGTTTTCGTCAGAGCTAATCGCTGTTCCGTGTCTTGTCTAATGCAGGTTATATGACGTACTAATAAGCGAATCTAGGCTTACAATAGTATTTGAGCATTGTGATCAAGATCTCAAAAAGTATTTTGATGCCTGCAACGGTGAGATCGATCCTGCCACGGTAAAAGTACGTCGCATATTTATGTTTTCACATGTCCTGCCTCGGCTTTCTTTTTGAGAACATTTATTTTTACTGTTCTCTCAACATGAGGCAATACATTTCCGTTGTTTTTATTAGCTATTTATGTATCAACTACTCCGTGGACTCCAATTTTGTCACTCTAATCATGTACTTCACCGTGATCTTAAACCACAAAACCTGCTCATCAACTCGAATGGAGAATTGAAATTGGCTGATTTTGGTTTGGCAAGGGCCTACGGGATTCCAGTTAGGCAGTACTCTGCAGAAGTAGGTCTTTTAATAAGTCAAGATTGCACAGTCATTTTAATAGTCCTCACTTTGTTCTAAGCATAGCTTTTGTGCTCTTTTAATTATCACGTGGCTTAGGTGGTCACCCTATGGTATCGACCACCCGACGTGCTCTTCGGCGCCAAGATTTACACCACCTCAATTGATATGTGGTCGGCGGGGTGCATATTTGCGGAGCTTTCGAACGCCGGTAGGCCCCTTTTTCCCGGCTTCGACGTGGACGACCAGCTCCGTCGAATTTTTAAGTAAGACTTTTGCATCATCACCTACAGCTATTTTATGTCATCTGGCCGTTTGAGTTAACTCTGGCTTTCTTTGTCACAAAGCTCCCGCATTCTCTTTATTGACTTGCGATTTACTGCTTCAGCACTAACTTTCGCCTCTAAGTTTCATGGGCCTTGTTTTCTTGTTTTCGGTTGTAGCTTGTTGGAAGTTAGAAAAGAACTGCTAAAACTGTTCCTAAATGCGCAGTTGTGCGCAAGTCTCGTTGAAGAATGGTTGTTATACTTTGTACTCTTGTAGATTTAATCCTCTCACGTACTTTGCGCTTTTCTAATTTCAAAATAAGTGAAACACAACTCCATTCTGCGTTGATCTCGTTTGTATTTCAAATGTTATGTTTGTCTCTTGCGACTCAGATAGCTGTCGACTTAAAAATTTGCTTTTAGATTGCTCGGTACTCCGACTGAGTCAACTTGGCCGGGTGTAACTGACCTTCCGGAGTACAAGGTGTGATTAATCTTTTCAAAATGTTTTTTACTTCAGAAAATAAAACGATTGAATTTGGGAGGCGTCGAAAGTTGCATCTCCATTTTAACAGCCATATATTTGCTATCCTAGGCATTTACTATCTACCCGAAAAACACACATTGGCAACAGGTTGTTCCTAATCTCTCAGCTCGCGGTCGGGATCTACTGCAGGTATTCTCTTTCCTAAATTTATTGCAATATTATATACTCTAGTTACTTTGAAACACTTTGGTCAGGCTCCCTTTCGTATTTGTTGTATATCTTTAGCAGTTGCAGAAGCTTTTAACAGGTAATATTGTTGGTCAACTAGCGTGACTGCTGGCTTTCTGTTGCGTTCTCCTAAAGCTGTACTACTTCTGGGAGTTTTCCCTAATTTGGTTTCATAGTGTGTACGTGATTGACTTCTCTTCAAAAATAGTAAATAGCCTAGGTCAGGTTGCTCTGTGTACTTTATTGTATAGACGTTTGCAAAAGTTGACAGGACTATTAAAACATTATCCAACTTCTTGCATATGATTGTGTCTTGTTTGCTGGCTCATTGATGAGATTGATTTCGTTGCACAGGAATGTCATGCGATTGACCCTTGGCCTCATTTTGATGCTCCTTAAAATAAGTAAAGCCACTCAAGGCCATTGGTGGAAATCGCACTGCCTATCTAACGTCATTAGGCTAACGCAATTACGGTGCGCTGGAGCTTGTGGATTTTGCTTAAGCTCATATTATTTAAGAACGTACTTTAGGATGTGTTGTCGACCAGGTTTTCGTGTTTTATACTAGCCTACTATTTTTCCGTGGTGCAGCAATTACTCGTGTGCAACCCTTCAGAGCGTGCCAGCGCGGATCAGGCTTTGGATCATCCTTACTTCGATGCAGTGGTTCACTAGCCCTTCATGCGCTCTCTCCTTTTCCTTCTACTACTGTGATTTTTTGCCATTTGTGCGCATTTCTTTCCACGTCGCCATCATTAACCCCTCCTCAATCCTTCTCTACAATCATGTTCATATGTACATATAACCGGTGATTTGCGAATAGATGCCCAGCTCAACGAAAAAGGACTGTTTTTGGGATCACCGTCTGTTCCACATCCGCGTTAGAAACAATGAATGGCTCAAGGATTTGCTTTAGCACCTGGGGGAATGTCCGCGCATGAATTTTACAGGTCGTTGGTAAACAACTTAAGTCGAGAGTCGATTCTAGCACGAGAGTTGTAGTCGCTGACGCGGATGTGGGTGGCGGGTACTAGCACAAGGTAGTTGCTCACTTGGATCAGAATGTGGTTCGCGCTTCCTTGACATGGAGAAGATGGCGAGGAATCTTTTTTGGAATAAACAGAGATTTTATATAGCCACACAAACGCACGCCGGAAGTGAGGGAAGAAATTGCAGAGTTTGGATTGTGGAACATTCTAGTGGATACTGCGGATGGAGAGGGTGCCCGATGAAGCGGAGCTGGGTGTGCGTAGTGACCCGGTTGTTGGCTTTGTTCTTACGTCGTGTTGAACTCGTGTTGTTTTTGCCGTTGTCGGTCGTGGCACATCAAAAGCATGTGCGCCTAGCTCCACGTTTGTCACCGCCAGGCTGCCAGATCCTAATCCTTTTCGAAAATTAAGAGATTTTACTTATAAACCCGTTAGTAGCTGCGATATTTGAAGTAGCTTTGGCATTCCTCACTCGATATGTTTGCGTTGACGTTTCGGTTAAGTAGTTTGTCAGAGACTTTGATGTTGTCAACACTGCCCATAAGGATTGGAGTGGCTAACTGGAAACTCTTGGATAGCTCTTGTGCCTTTGCAAGAATTTCATCGTTGATAAAAGGTGAGGCCTTGATGCTTCGCACCAGTAAAATATTGACAGATTCGTTGAAGTCACTGAGGAGTTGGACCTGATGATGCAAAATCACCTCAACAATATTTAAGCTTTTTTGTGAGTTCACCAAGTGTCTAAGCCTAATTTACTACAGCGCTATAAAAGCAATAAGGGTGTTGAACTCATCTGTCAAATATTTTGTTCGAAGTTCCTGAGTTTCTTACAATTGAATGAAGTTGGTGAAGTGGTCAGATAAAACTCTGAATAACCCGTTAATGCTTTCATTGTCACAGGGTTTATGTGATTTAACTTTTATTGGCCAAAGAAACCTTTTCAAGGTCGTCGGTCAATGTAACGCTTTAGTAGCTGGATGTTTAAGTCAATTTCTCTGATAGAATCGACCTGAAATAATTGAACTGATATTAATCCTCATTTCCCATGTGACAGTTGTAAGGCGTTTATACTAAAATTGAAAAATGCTTTATGTTAGTTTGGTGGCGTCCAGAAATCTCCTTTCCAAGGGTGTTCAACATCCTTAACCAGCGCACTTTGATATGTCAGTCATTGCAGTGGGAATGAAGACAAACCAAAAGCTTCTCCCATATAAACGTAGGATTTTATAATGTATGCCTATCCTTTGTGCCAACTCTAGACATTTTGTCTTCTGCAAAGGTTTATACGTGCACCCATGAATTTATTGTTTTGCTTGTATCATCCTCTCCCAAAGACGGCCACAAAGTTTTAAGACACACCGACATTTACCTCAATGTCCAAGTCCACAGGTTGTTTTACCCGAGTAGCCTTTGTCTTAGCAAGTGTCTGCACTTTCTGTGCTCTTTCCAACTTGGCGTCAAGCTCGAAGTTTTTATTCCTAATTCGAAAAACGTCCGCCTCGTACGATGCCACCATCTTCTCTAACTGGGCAATCTCCTCTTCCAAAGAACTTATCTCCACTGTGAATCGCTGTAAAAGTTCAAGCTACACTTTATTTTTCTGTTTTATGAGGGACTTTTCAAAGCTATCTAGGCATTTGTTTTAGTGTGATAAGTCTTCACACTTATTTTGCCTGGAACTTAAACGAACTTGGTGGCTTACCAAAACAGACGCTCGAAGAATCCTTCGCTTCTCACGGGAGACCTTTAATTTGCTTGTTGTTTTTTCGAGTTTCTCTGCTAGTACCTCCTTGTTTTTAAGCAAGCTTTGATCCACTGTCTACAACGGAGCAGTTGAAACGATGTAGTACAACTGTGCTTATTCAGTGAGAATCGGCTCACAGTAAAAGGCAATTAAATGATTTGTAGCTCTGAGAGAGGGTTCTGGCTTTTTAAGCCCTTGCTTCAGCTCATCACAGTGGATACTTGAATGCGCCACTCAATGCAAATCAGTCAGTATAATTAAGTGACCTGTTCAATCTAACTTTTCCTTTCAAAAGAATCAAGAGCCTTTTAGCGGTTTTGACCTGACTGCTCACCTCGCATGTATATTTAGGATTTGGAAATAGCTAAATCAGTGGCACACGAACTTCTCTCCACTGCTCACTCAGAATTTTGATAGGTTAATGCACATCCCATCCGAAAGTGTGGCGGGACGGAACCATGAAAATGTGAGAGTTGACTATAGTTTCGCTCGTTCTTTCATCAATTTGCCTTTACTGCTTCAAAGTGGCGTGGAGTTTTTCCCCTATTTTGAGATGTGTAAAACTGAAAAAAGCATTCCTCACAAACTCGTCCTTGTTCACCTAAGTGAAGTCGAGCCTCTGGTTGAGGAGCATGACTTTACCTGCCTAGTGTTTGCAAACATCTTTACGCGTCCACACGTTAAGAGCACTCACAGTTCCGCTGTAGCTGCGTGCAGATTCATTCAGAGAGGACATAACGAGGACGGTGTTTTCCAGCGCTCTCAGCTCCTCCTCTGCCCGCCTCACATCCCTATCCAACTCATCACCCTTTGCCTGCAATTCTTCGTGCTCTTCAAGTGACTATAGAAATCAGTGGTATTATTTTGTGTGCATTTTTCTCCACATGCCTAGTTCCATCGATTCCGTTTGTGATAACATCAAACTACTTGCATAGCTTGTAACCTTTAGTAAGTAGAAATAAGCGTGCATCACAAATGCCTCTTGATTCTCACCCTGACAATTATACTTGTTTGGGCTTTGTCAATATCTCCATCCGCTGAAACCAGCGAAGCATCAACATCGTATCTGAAAAGTGAACAAATTAAAAGGAATTTAAAGGACTTTTGACTGGGTCGAACAACTTGATGCATTCAACAAATAAATAAAAGCCCTACGATCTGGAGATCTCATGGCGGCAACTATCCACTGCGGAAGATTGTCCATTTACGAGAGGTAGCGCTTTAGTCGCGATTCACTGTTAAACAAGCATTTCTTCTTTCCATAATCATGCAGGTCAGATATGAGCTGAAGGCGTGAGAAGATGCAACCTACCTGGATTTAAGCTGTTCCAGTCTGCACTTTCTTTTGGCCAGATCGGCCTTGACTCGACTGGCGTCCTGACCAGTCATGCGCATCTCCATTTCCACACGGCAGGTGCGTGCTGCAGCCTCCTCCTCCAACTCGCGCGTCATCGCGGCTATCGCCTTCGCTCGCATCTCTTCATTCAATGTCGTCTCTTCCATTAGTCGGTAGTGCTCCTCCGCTCGTCGCAACTGTCAAGGGGTCATTATTTACCATCTACGCTTCTACTTCCTTGCTGTAAAAACGGTTGACAGCCAAAATATCAGACCATCACTAATCGAGAAGGAGATTATGGTCGTCCTCTTGTAGAGTTATCATCCAAAATCCCGTTTTAGAAGCCGATGTTTGTAATTTTATAGCATCTCTTGCTAATCAGGTCCTCTGCCCAATGGCCACCCGGCAAGTTGACTGCATTGAGAATGTAACTGAATGCACCGCCAATGCAACGTACAACTTGATGCGGCAGTATTTGCCTATAAATTGGCCTCATCGCTACTGGCGACTTTGACCCTTGATTACCAAGTCGTTCGTGTCATTGTAACAGTTCTTTGGCTAAACTGTGCCGTTTTGTGGGCTTTTCACACACATTCACACCCACACACACATCAAAACTTCCTTTTTTTTCAAAATTGATTGTCCTGTGAGGAGAACTAACCTGATTTAGTTCAGTATTGTGATCTAGCAATGATTCAAAAGCCTAACTTGTCTCTCTTCATCGTATTGCCCAGAAAGTCAACAATTTGTGGCCACTTGAATTACTAAATAATTATCCCGATTTTGCTATCATTCTCAATGGACATTGTATCGGGTAAGCATGTTTGGATGCTCCTCGAAGAACACCTAATCAACTCGCAGCAGAATGCAAAAACAACCGATGAGAATTGAAGCACAGACTCGCGTTGTAGCTGTTTGCATACACGTGGAGATGCCTACCTGATAACGGCAGAGGTTGTAGAAGACGAGAAGTTCGTTTCGACTTCGTACAGCTCCGTCAAGACTTCTGCCAGCGTTTGCTAGGTAGACCTTCACTCCATCCATTTGGTAAATGCTTTTTCCAAGGTGCTCCCTAACTGAATCGGACTGCAGTGCCAACACTCGTTTTTCATTCTAAATGCAACACTCACTCTTTTAAAATGTCTGGACATGTGTGGATGAGTAACTGGAAATGCTGTCATTGCACTCTTTATGGTCTCCCAAAATCTGTTTTTTTTTGCGATGCAAAGTGAAAAAGGGGAAGCATACTTTGAACTGTTCAATCATGGAGGAGAGGGTGTGCGCAGACTGACACTGGCTATCAAACTGCTCTTGCATGTGACGAATGCGCCGCTCCAGTGCGAGGCTCTCCTCATCGCTGGCTGCGTTCGACTCCATTCGTGAGATTCTTCGCTCCATCATGTTTGCCGTCAGCATCGACTTGTAAACCAGTTGCTCCAGCCGCCTCAACTCCTATAGCCATGTAAACAAAAAAAATACATGCCAAATCATTGTAGTAAACTGGCAAAACATGTACGCAGGACCTCCAAGCGACTCGTTTTTGAGTTCATCCAATAAATGAAAACCCAATCAGCTAACCAAGGGGTGTAGTAAAAGGAGTCTGAGCTAAACATTTTGTGATATCCCTAGAAAACTGTAATCATCGGACCTTTAAATCACTTCAGTCTTGCAAAATGAGTTTTCTATGCTGGATTTTGTGCTCATCTTGCCTTGACCTTGCAATCATTCATAACAACAATTTGGCTGAAATTTTAATTCCTCTGCCGTTCACTCAAGCCTTTTAAGGTACACAATGCGCACAATGCGCAGTACTTTGTTGAATCCAGTAGCATTCATTGCTGCTCACCGCCTCGCTGCTTTGAAGTTCGCGATCGGCGTGACGAATTTTCGTTCGACTTCCATTTATAAGTGCTTCAACGGTCTTGTTATCGCTTTCCGCCATCCGCTTTTCCTAAAACCTCCCCAAAACAGTACAAAGTTAATCATGTGTCCTTACTAATATAAAACCACATCAGATCTTTTAACAGGCATTGCAAGACACATCCACACGGCCCACCTCTTTATGTAAAAAAAACCTCTTTCGCTAATTCTGTGGTACCCATTTGGTGGTGCTCGCATCGGATGGTGTTACCACACCTCACCTTGCTGTTAACTCTTGGGATTGAATTACTAAATTTCTTATGCTCATTCCTAAAAGCTATCAGTCGTAGCACTTTGTTCTTCTGCTAACGACCCACCTCTGAGACGATGAAACGAAGATTTTTCAATTTTGTGAGATTTGTTTTGACTGTGTTTTGGCACTGAACCTCGGTTTCCAGCTCCTCCTCCATCATGCGCAACAGCTCTTCAGCTGAAACATTCTCAATCTTCAGATTCTCCAACCTCCTCAGTGTGATTATCACAGCGCCCTCCGTTGTATGCAAACTATAGACGCATTGAAGGGACATTTTTGCGTAAAAACTTTTATGTGGTGTCAAAAACAAGGGATGAACGTGGCAAAAAGGATAATAGCATTCTTAATAGTTACAACTTTGTTCGACAATCCAAAAAGGTCACTGGAGAGAAGGTACTCAAACCAGTGCTCCTTCATCAGCCCTTCCAAGTAGGGCTTTAAAACCACACGCGCTGGCGTGTTTGCTAAAATGTCAGCAAGACGTTGTAGAACAGTCCTCGCACCCGAAATCTCTGGACCATAGGAACTTTCAGTAGGACACTAATACCATGCAAATACTTATTATTTTTGACATTGCAATGCTTTTCTGTGGGCATCAATGCATTGAAAACGTGGCAGGCGATCGTGGTGGCAATATTTTGCGATGATTGACCCAAAGTCCGATCATCAGAGATAACAGGAAAATCTTGTGCATGCCCAAAGAATGCCTACTTTTCTGACAGCTTTTTATTGGATTCCTTGAAATGAGCGTTGGCAGCTCGTATCTGCTGCAATTCTTTTGCCACCTTCGAGACCAGCTTTTTAAGTGTGAAAAGCTAAAATTGAAGAAGGCATCGATGTCAGAGGCTCAATCGTCTATCAAAACTTCTAACTGTAGCAATCAATTGCATTCCAACCTCGTTTTCAGTGGTGGAAGCGTTGATTGACTCCTGCAAGGTTGCCTCCCGGATGTCACTTATTGTCCTGGTCAGGAGGGAGGACCTGCTCTTCACATCTTTGATATCCTGACCAATGCTCCCCAGTAACTTCTGTAACGCACGCATTTTCGTCTGCCTCTCGTTGATATCGGAGAGCAGTCCATCGTAGTCCTACAAGCAATAGGGCAAATAGTTTAAACAGCACCAAATCACAGGACTTTCAAGTTTCGGGATCCATGTGCCTTCATAGTACTACTTGATTGGTTTGTCCTTTTATTCCACCTTGATGCTTCGTTTGTCTTTTACATTTTAAAACAGTGTTGGTATCCTCTCTTATGCCCATCACGCCTAACCGAAGTTCACAAAGGGACGAACGCTCGCTGACATTGCGCAGTTTAGATGACTACCAGCTCCGGTCTTGCCGTCAGTTTATTCACTTTGCTACTTCGAATTCATCCTACCTCTTCACTCCGTGTCGCAGAAGAAGGTTATTAGTCTTACGACAATTAATGCTTAAGGCGGAGACACTTGGTATCCAGTAAGGTAGTCCTTGAATAGTTGCTTCATGTGTATTTCTGTGGGCACCCTTATGACCCATCAACCAAGACTGCACCACAACAATTCTGCAATGTTTTTTTCAGCTATTAAACATTACTGGCATTTGACGCTGTAACCGTATAAATTTGTACCAACTTACCTTTCCAAGCTTGGTGAAATCGGCGTCCCGCTCGGAAAGCTGTTTTACAGTCTTCTCCCACAACTGGAGCATCTCTTGTCTGCCTCGATTTTCCTCCCTCCCCATTTCCGCCGTCGTGTCAATGCGTAGTTGGATGACCTCGTCTTTAGACACGGCAGTGTCCAACTTCTTCAGTAGGTCATTCCGCTTCGCATTCAATTTGCTCTCCTCACTGGTGAGATGCTACACTTAGAAGGAATGGAAAATAGCATTCCACATGGCCTCGGTGACTCATCGTCCTCCGGAAGTTATGACCCAGGCGTCGGAGCAAATTAGGCAATCATCCCCCTTAATTGTTCCTCACACTGCCAAAATTCGGCGCTCCGACATGGAGCTAAATCCACTGGTATTATAAAGACAACCGTGGGAGCGACGTTCAATGAATCACCTACTGGCGCATACCCTTTCAGGCCATTGTAATGTAAGACGCGAACCGAAGAGTGAAAACGAATAAGTGGTAAGTACTTTGAATGGCTCCTTGTTGGTAAAGCGAGAAACTTTGGTGTTCTTACCCAAGTACCAAAAAGATTAAAGCATGCGCCAAACCTTTCCATTGATTGCACTCCAAACATGCACTTTAATATCTGTTTGAACTTTAAAATTTCCTCTGCACTTTTCAGATCATTGGAAGATCAAATGAATGCGAGAAGTGAAGTTAAGCCTCTACCTGAATAAGAGTATTGTCGGTTTTGGAGATCATTTGCAGTCTCCGCTTGAGGGCGTAGTCCATTTCACAGTCAGTCATGAATTGTTCCACGCGTTTCTGATCGCAGTCCAATTCCGTCTTGATTGATGTCAACTCGTTGGATTTAAGAAATATTTCGTCCTAAAGGTAAGAAAAAAGTACTTTCTGCAAAGCAGATGAGTATCAACGGTCGGAATAAAGTCACCTTCTGGTGAGGTTCAAAGTGATCAAAATCACACTTTTGAATTGCAGAATTGTAATAACAACACCAAAATAGGGGTCTGTGGAAATCCACCTCGGCAGGCGGATGTGCTCCAGTGTTTTAAATAGGCGTCAAATCGGTACGAAAGTACGAGCTGATGTACTTTACACGCGTGCGCTGGGTCCCATAGGGCACGGTAGACCCGAAAGCATTTGCTGCCTAGGTAGGCTCAGTCCTTTCGGTTGCAAGGTTGTCACCCGTCAAAGTAAGACTAGCACAAAACAGGTACCGCTAGGATCTTTTATCCCTTTTAAGTGGAGGCCAGTGTACCTACAAATTCCACCATTCCACAGTGGAAGCGAAAAATTCAAGATGGAGTTGTAGTAACGTCACTTCTGCCAGAGTGTAAATGATCCACCGCGAGGTTCCCTTAAAGGAAGATTTGTTTGTGAGTGCCGTAGAGTTGTATTGTGACAATTGTTTGATCTTCAGAGAGGCATTCCGTCTGCAGTGTGGTGCGATGGCCAGTGCAATGCTGGAATGCTAAAGTCACTTCTAATTATCAGTCAGTTGGGCAGCGACTTGTCTTCCGACGCCGTGTTTATCACGTGCGTGAAGAGGAAGAAAGGGATGTTTTTTTTTACATCTCTTGCCATCGGTGTGCAGTACGTCTATCTCCAAGCCATGTGTTGTTTATGGCACCCACTTTTTCACGATCAAGACTAGTCCTCCTGGACACTTTGCACCACTCTTGTCAACTGTTTCTGCTAGCAAGTATTGCCCATTTTTCAAATTAGTGTATAGCTGTACCTAAATGGTTTAAAGGCTTTGAAAGACATCCAATATCAGATGACAACGCAAGAGAGGTCGAATTGCACTTCCTCTGCACTACTTAAGCGCATGCGAGATCCAAATTGGAGGCGATAAAGTGAAGTAGTGAAAGACCGACGCACATGCGGTTTGTAATGCACGCAACCATTTATTATATGCTGCGAGCTCCCAGCCACCGTGAGAAGATGCTGCGGTAAGTTAAGATCAGAAACTCCTCAACCTCATCATTTCTGACTCTTTAAGGAAGGCAAGAATGCAACTCGGCCTCTCAGTGGTCCTTTTAGTTTAACATCATGAAATCGTAAATCAAGATAATTGAAACATTATGAAGTTTCAGCCGAAAAGTGAAAACACCATTAGAATCCTGTCTTCGCAGTGAAGCAAAGAGGAAAGCGGTGAAATTCCACAGTTGATAACGAATTTTACAAGCTTATGTCCACTTCATTTGAAGGCTATTTCACGCTGATGACCGATTGCCTAAAGTCCAGCGTCAGCCTTTCGACCTACGACATGGCATTCACCCATTGTAAACAGGAAGAAAACCAAAAAAAATTAAAAACATGCACCGCTGCTCGTACCACTAATTAAAAGTGCCTTTCTGTATCCTGTAATGCTTGTTTTGAATCCTGACTGTTTCCGAAATGCTTACTGTTCTTTCATTCTACAACATTTTGTCTATGTGCGGTCAGTCTTTGAGGAAACACTTCTAGCAGTGTGCAACTAATCTTCCAGACGTATTCAGTTCCCAAAAAAAACCAAAGAATTTGGTTGTCTTAAAGGGCAGCCAGTATCAATCTTCGTTTAAGCGCCTTTATCATTTTTGTAAGGAAGTAAAATCTGTTCAGATTGAAAACAATTTCCCATCCTTTAGCTGAAACCTAGGATACCTCAAGAGCTCCAAGTCTGGACGTCAGTTTTTTCTTTTGTTCAATGAGTCGCTTGTGATCGCTGGCAGTGCGCCAGTTCTCCTGTTCAGCCATTTTGATGAAGTGCTCTGAATCAGCAATCTCTTTGTCCACCTCCTCCTTCAGCTGTGCAGTGAGCTTGCGCTCGTTCTTCACCATATCTATGTGGCCCTGAATCTTCCTGTTCTTTTCCGCATAGAGCTCCAATTCAGCGGTTGCTTCGGTTATCTTCGCCTTCGTTTCTGTCAACTAGAGCAGTAGTTAAGGCAACTTTTGTAACTAATCATCAAAATGTATTGTTTTACGGAGGACTGGATGAGTGAAGCAATTGGTCCTCCATGTCGCACACAATTCGCACCAAACGTTACCGATTGCCCTTTGAATAATTGGCAAATCCATCCAAGTGTTTAAGAATTTTCCATGATTTCGTTTTGAATAAAACCCATTTGTGTCACTAAAATGGGTCCATCTCATTTCTGATGGAACCTCTGGAAACTCACCAGCCATTATTTTGTATTTTTAGCGCAGTCTTTTGCTCCTAAAGACGCCGTAGAAGATATTCAAAATCCAGTGTTTATAAAAACTCGACCAACCATTTATACCCCTCACTATTCATCCTAGACACCTCTTACCGAATGGTATAACCTAACATTGTTGCATTGCTTAGTAATGTTGACACTGAGATCCGTTAGGCGAATTCCGTAAGCTAGTCGACAAATCAAAAGGCACGAGTTGTTGGAAAATGGGATTCTAAAAAAAGTAGTGTCCATTTTACACTTTCATGAAGGACCTGGTTGGATAAGACAACGTCCCTTTTTATTCTGTTGGACTTGACCAAATCTTAAATTAATTCGAGCATCGCCAAAACATCATGACTGTGTAACAATCACTTCTCGAAATCAGACGGCCTCGATACCCGTCGCTGTCACGCCTTTAATTTTACATCCGGGTGCTCTCTCTCTCTCTCTGGTTAGGCTTGGAATGCTTAGCAGAATGCCAACTCCGGTTTGGCACTGTACCCATTTCGCACACCTCACCAATTTTGTGGTAAGAAAAAGCCAACTGCGAAAAGCATGTCACCTCATAAGTGCGTTTGATTAATGGTCTTCGTTGAGTGCCTATCATCTCCAAGTGATGACATTGTTAATGTGACTCAAAGGGAAACGGAAATTAACACTGAAACATACCAATTCCAAGAGCTTTATGTTTTCTTTTGAGGCAGTTGGAAAGGCAAAAGAGGATTGCCATCCCGTTTCCAAAAGGGCCTCTCTTATAATATCACCATCCATTCGATAGCTCTTGGACGAAACTTTATGCCTCTTGCAAGTATATTCTTGTGACGCATGAGCATGAGGTAAAATTACGAATAAATTTTGAAATAAATTGATTTTTCAAGGTCTTCGAACAGCTGCTTGTAGTTGGTAGAAGGAAGTCCTCCCGCCTCCGCTGGGCTGTTTTTCGTGGTCGACAGTATATTTGTGATCTACAAACTGAACGTGTTCAGTCCTTCTTTCTACATATCTGTACACGGTTTAGTAAACAGATCTTTTTTCTCTGCTTTGAGGATTTGAAACAGCGAAGCAAAACTCGCGATCCATTAAAGGTCTTCACTTTATACAGCCAGAGGCAATATTTCCCTCATTTGCTTGTATTGTGGAAAAAAGCATCGGCACACGCAGGCATCCCTCAACGAAGTGCAAATCGGATTTATCGACATTGGTAGTCAGAGGCACCTCTTCATTTTACGATCTAACCCTTTACGACTGTGTTTTAGTAAGGCACAGTTGCTTATTTTCCGTTTCAATCAGTAACTTTTCAACATTCGTGAGGAAATGGGGAATAATTATGAATTGAACGAGCACTGAGAAGGTTAAATCTGCCCATTCCTCGCCCACCTTACCAACGAAATCCAAAATTCAAATAAGAACACGAATAGCCTATTTCATTTCCTCACTCTCCCTAATCCACATGCGTGAGCCAACCACGAAGCACCTAGATGAGGCACTTTCGCGAATTTTAGTCCCTTCTTACTGGCACATGTAGTCATCTGTCACACTTCTCCACCGAGGCGTCTATTTGTTCTGATCTCATTCTCAACTAATGGGACCATTTAAGCTTCCTTATCACATAACAAATGCTTGCTTTAAATTTGGAGTCGCAACACCTAACCGATACTGTCGTGGGAATCAGTCTCAGCATCCTTAATAGGATGATTTGTTGCAATTTCGTTGCGTCAACCCTGGCTTCTACGCGTCACTCTCTCGAATTCAACTGTCAGTTCGGCTTGCTGGTTGTTATCGGTACAATACGAAACACTTGCCAGCTTATGGATAGATTAAAAAACAAAGCTGCGGAAGTAGAATAAGTATTTTGCTCTACGAGAAGGATCCCATGAGCCTATACGCGAATGGAATAGCACACTGCATGCCATTTAACTTCAAATCTTGTTAGTGTTTTAAATATAATAGCATGGCAAAGGCGGTTTGCTCCCGAGAATTGGAGCACAGATGCACAGCCACACTTCCTGAAGCTAAGGGGTATTAACAGCACCCACTCCTCTCCAAATGCGTAGTTATCGACAACTGTGAACCCGTAGTCAATGAAGACTATCACATTTTTATGGTGGATGCTGCTCTACACGACTACTGTCCGAACACTCAAGGGTTCCAAGCATTAGTGATCTCACAGTCACTGGTTTAGTGCAACTGGCGGCAAGCTTCTCAAAATCGACACTAACCGAGTAAAGGCATCAGGTGTAAGGTAGAATCGAGACCCCCTCAAGTCTAAAAGCAAACCTCTATGAAGCGATTGCCATAATTTGAAACGGTCTTTATCCACCATTTCAAGAAGGAGCTGAAAGACACACCACCCAAATCAGAGAGGCTGGCGTCTCAGGTAGATGAGATATTTTAGACCCTGCTGACTATAAGGCTTTGGTAATGATGCACCAGTAATAGTTGTTTTGCTAAAAACGATAAACATCGAAATGTCTCTGCTCTACGAGTGTCAACTTTTACAAGGACAAAAATAACCACATTCTTATGTATTTCTAACCAAATCTCAGTGTCATCTAATAAATGTCCGATGAACTACCTTTGCCCCCATAATAAGGTTTGTTTCGCTGCGGTTTTGAACAACAAGCGCCATGGTGCCGTGAGGACGATGGTCGCAAGAAGCAGGTGAGTCTTCACAGCTATAATTCACCATGCGCGAATGATACTGCCGAAACAGGTAGGCAAGCAAGCGGACATGCAGGTACTTGAGTGACCAGTTGTTTGAAAAATGTGACGCATTGAAATGCTACTCCGCACATCTTTGCAGCAAATGCGATAAGTACCGCAAAGTCGGTTGGACGGCGCCACAATAACTTCTGGCTACATGCGGCAGCAATGCATGCTTTTCAATCAGCAATAGTGAAGGAAATTGTTACTACCTTAACTTCACTCTAAAAGGATCCACAGGACAAGCAGCGAAATTTTCATAGAAAAACTATGACAAGAGGGAACACGAGCTCCATACATACGAGATCCAGTGCCTATACTGAATCGAGATAACGACTTGAGTGTCATAATTATTTAATAAAATAACAAATTGTTATAGAGGTACAACGGCCCCGGATTCACTTGAACCTCCTCTGTGATCTAGTTTGAGTACACCGACGTACCGCAAATATACTGTATTTCTGCGTTGTTCAATACCAAATGCATTGGTGGACACTGGCCGCAGCTTCAACATAAACCAAAAAACTAAAAAGAACGGCCCGGAAGTAAGGAAATGGAGGTATACTGTGGGCCGAAGGACGATAATAGAAGAGGGCACCGCAGAAAACTCGAAAGCATTCGACAAGCAGCAGCCAAAGGGGAGGCATAGAGTCGAGAGCTGGGGCCTGAGTCAAGTCACAGGGAAAGGCGTAGGCGAGGCAGGCATGCGCTGTTGATGCGAGTGAAACAGTGAGTGCGGGCTGAGCTAAAAGGCATTCCAACCCATTCAAAGTGGAAAGGAATAAGAGGTTTGTTCAGACAGAGGATACAACTCCTCCTTCTACTTGTGTTCTGCAAATACACAATGGTACCGTGGATCGGCGGTCTAGTGGCGACGTTAAGAGAGATCGCTTTAGGTGTCGGTGTGTGGGTTGAGTAGGAAGGAAGGTAAATGCAGGGTGAGTCAAGTCAAAAGTGGGGGCACGACAGGGAGGAATGCTCACCAATCCGGCTAGTCATCCAATCACCTGGTTATGCCCACGAAAGCCCAAACAACCAAGACGGTGAACGGATGCATGAGTGAACAGGCGAAGAGGTGAGAGATGGCTAAAGGAAGGACAAGTCGAGGATGGGAGCGGTAGAGATGGTGGTGGTAACGATGTGTTTGACAATGGCAGTCGGGTATGTGCACGTCTGCTGCAGCAATAGACTACTGTCCTCCCTTCAACTGTTCCTCTAGATGTTTTATTCGTCTCTCGTGACCCTTGATAATGATCTTCATTTTCCGCATGTCGTCCAACAACTGCTGCACTTCTTCAGGATTTATTCCGCCAAAGTCGCTCTACAGTAAGAAAAGTCACTTGATTCCCTTCAAGCCCATTTAGCATCAATTTTAATAAAATAATGATTCGGATAAAAGTTACAAGTTCGACTCCAAATATTCAACACGATCCCTCAAGAAAGAAGACATTACTTTCGTGAACAATTCTTCCCTTTATTAGTTAGTCAGCTGGTCTCAGTAATGAACGGGGGTCGATCTATTATAATTTGTGTGCGAAGAGGGAACACAACAGGGAAAGTCAAAAATTTAACGCAATTGATTAACATTTCTCCGTACTTACTGAGTGTGGAGCTGTGGCGTGAAAATACATTGGAAGTAAAGGTAGTGGTCTGAATTCGTTTCACCAAAGCAGCTCGCAGTGAAATGATGAAACACCTCAAATGACAGCGGACAACAATTATGAAATGACCGTGCAAGAATGAAAGAATGCTGGTGGCGGAGGGTACAGTCAGCCATACTGTGTGACACATCCTTTGCCACGGTCCGTGCGGCATACCAAAAGCACAAACATAACAGGGATACATCAACGGTTATTGCACACAAGCACAGATGTCTACCAGAGTAAAGTTGGTCCATCGTACGCGCACATTTCAGTGCCCAGGGTAGGAGCATCAATAAAAAGGCAGGAGGTGAAGGGTACAGCAACCAGTTCAGAGATGGAGTGAATTGCAAAAACCGGTGTGACTGAACCGCAGACCATTGTGCTACTTCATTTAACTCAATTTTGGAGCCGCCAGCTTTGAGCGGTGTGCGTGCATGATTATTGTGCAGGATAATTGAATCAAATTTTTACCATGCCATGAGAAACAGACCTATGCCAAGGCATGTGTGTTGTCCCTGTCTATGCGGTAAAATGGAGGCCTACTCGCCTGACAGTATGTGGGGGAGGAGGAGATAAACTCACCGATTTAACGATTTCACCGCCAGCGGAGACGGCATTTGAACTAGTGTGGGAAGGTCGAATGGAGTCGGTAGTTGCGGACGTGGTGTTACTGTGGGGTGCCTGATGCTGATGGTGGGCGCCGCCCAACTTTGACTCAGTCAGTTTCGGCCGTGTTGACGGCAGCTTGCCGTTCTTCTTGCCGTCCGCTTCGCCGCTCACAAAACCGTCCTTCAGTGACATCTGAACAAGGAAGAAACATCAACAAGTAAGTTAGACCAGCAGCAATTCCAAAACAAAGGTCCCGTTTCATCAAATTTTGTGTCCTGACGATTACTAAACCTCACAAGGAGTAGAGTGGCATTGCGATTTTAAATCCACCTAATCTAACAATAAATTATAACCACAGAAAGAATCTTCCAAGTCTAATGCAGCAAAGACAATTGTTTGGTGGTAAGAGTTAAAAAGACCCACTGAACAATAATGTACGCATGTGTAGTACCAAAGAGGAAATTAGCTATGCAATAATGAGACGTCCAGGTTGCCTTTCAAAGGATATTTTGACTAAAAGAGAGATCGATGGAGACCCGCTGCAACTTTAAGACTTCGGACGTCAAGACCCAACATTTGTGTCATCTCATTCACATATGCGTGACAGTATTCTTTGTAGCCAACCAGAAACAAATGACACCTGTGGAGGGAATGTGTTAGTGTCGAGCTGCATGGAAAGTCAGTGTGTAAAAATGAAGCAGCAAGGGAACGCTCCCAAAGCCTTGTGACGTAAAAGGAATAAATTAGCAAAAATTACAAAAATTGTTAAAAAATGCACATCGATTAAAAGGCCAGTTCATCGTCGGATGAAATATGCTGGTTGTCCAGTCCAGTCAGAAGATGAGTCAATGTGTTGTTCTATGTACTTGAATTACACCCCTGCTCCCAATGAAGTGTCGTTTCTCACAACGTCTTCCACCTCAGCAACGGAAATCACACTTATGGACAATAGTGACTGATGATGACGAGAAAGGTGGGACAGTGTTGGAGACAAGAGGCCCAACAACCCCATAAGTTGATATGCGGCGCCTGTCAAAGCAGCTTCGCACAAGGTTTGTTCGAGACCGACTACTAACAGTACAAAATCTCAAACGAGTAGGTATAAATAACAATGCGCAATGAAACAATACCATGGGCTATAGAAACGTAGTATGATTCTCAAAAGATTGGCAATAGGAGCCAGTGATAAGTGTGAATGATTAAGAGAAAAATGGGGACTGGGGCAAAATCCGGAGGGAAAACAATGAACCCATGAAATTCAGACACCATCTGACTAGTCTCGCCGACGATTGGGCTAGGTTTTGACACTACTCTTGCATGAATCACCCATGTATCACGGCAATATAAGCATGGAAACCTTCAACACAAGACACATATTTAGCCAAAGCCTAACAAAGTCCGTAATTTCCACGAAAGAAATTTGGCTTGCAAAATAGCTAACCTGGTAAAAAGACACGATAAAGAGGTCTTCCAATCGCTTGATCAGAGTCCCATGCACAAAGATATCATGAAGAGAACCGCATCACCTCCAAACCTCAAACTAAAAATGTCTCATTATTTTTTGGCCCTTCTTAAAAGTTTAAGGCAATGAAAAGCATTCCTTGCATCCTACAGCTACAGCAGAAAATTACTAGGGATGAGAACATCTTGATATTAATGATGGCTCTACCAGCAGGGAGTTGAGCACACCAGAACGACCATGGTGGTTGGTTTATTTTTACGGTTTCTTTTTTCCTTACAAGCATCAGCTACCAAACGGCAGAACACTTTAGAAAACACGGTGCAAGTAATTGAGAGATGTTTTTGATAAGATTGAACCCAAATGCACTTTATAGAAAGACGTTCGCTAAACCAGGCTAGTTGAACATCTACCCCGGATTCCGTCCTGAAAGGGAAAGCACTTAACAACTCATAACATAAATGCAAAATTAAGACTTCGTAATATTTGCTTTCGTAGATTAAGTAATGACTCCAGCAAATACGTTTAACGGGCAGAACAACCCCACTGAGGTTGAATAAGGGACTCCAAAAGTCCATGTTTGTAGCCATTTGATGGTGGTAGTCTTGGAATAGAACCGATTCTTGAACATCGCTTTGGAGATATCGCACAACGAATTCAGGTATTTTGAAATGCAACACGGAGGATTCATCGGAAGCGAGAAGTAGGCAGCCTTGACCCCTGAGGGGCAAAGCCCGCTTTGTTTAGAGGACCCCTACTGGCTCCATGCAGAACAAAACGATGCCACTAGCGCATGCGTGGATGCATATGTATGTGTGCGTGTGAAGGCCATCCCACCAATGCGGCCATATATGGATGGAAGTTTCGATCGCGCAGCCAAGGGGCGCACACACGCACGCGTGCGGACGTCACGTGCGCACACATAGATGCACGCACTGGCCGACGGGCGGTCGTCACCCGAAGAGGGAATAGGCCACTTCAACGTTTGCGGCCATCCAAACGAATCGTCAAGCGAGTAAGTAAATTAGCGTCGCCAATTTTGCAAGGATGTCTAAGGTTCACACAATAACACGGAATTTGACAGTGTCAATGAAAGATTTCTAAGCTAAGTTCTCACAAAGCTTGGAATGGGAAGATACAATTAGACACGGATCTACTGTGAGGGAGGTTCCAACTTCGAGGTAGAATCCATCAACATAAGTGGCCAAAGTTCTAACGCCACAACAAATATGCGAATTTGAAAATCCATGCAATAGGCACTGCGAGGTGTTGAGCGCTCACCAGGATAGGATCCGCGTCCTTACCGGACATCCACTCGTCGGCGGAGAGAGCAGGTGTGTCGCCGACAGTATCGGGGTAGAGGTCGTCCTGGTAGAGAACCGATTTTCTTGGCACCGTGAAGGGAATGACTTCGCAGAAGCCGCGTGCGTGCAACTTGTAGAAGCGTGCGATCTCATTTTGGTTTACGTTGAGACCCCGTTTCGGCATCCAACCGATGCCGCGCTGTGGATCGGAACTGGTCATGGTGTCAATAAAGAAGACATAGGGGTCGTCGTCTGTCACCTCAAAGTAACGCATTGAGGAGTCACCCTACGTATGTTACAGAAGAGGAACATTAATCCACTCACTCGCGTTCAAAACTATAAACTTCCATTCAGCTAGATGAAATCGAAGTCCCATTGAGGCCACGCTGTCACTCATATGGACCTCGTTCCTCAAAATACCAATATAAGTAAAAAACATTTCAAAGGTGGCCTTCGGCAATGGCATATTTTAAACTCTGCAGACTAATGCAGTTCAAATTATTAAAAAGTTCAAATCATCTGGTACAGCCGGAATGATGTTGCCTAACAGGGAAGAGCAAATGGAAAAACAGTTGTAGGAGCTTAGAGTCCACATCATGATGGTGAGAGTAGCTGAAACCGGAAACGAAGTTCCGCACTGACATATGAAAAATACTTAGGGCACTATATCTTGATCCAATTACAACAAAGCTTTTGGCGACTTTGGGTTTTTAAATATTTGATCAAGCCCACGTAAGGGCTACAAATGATAGCAGCAGAAAAAGTACAAAGTGGTTGACAAGTTTTACCAACCTTCATTTGGGCAAAAATACGCATATTTGATCATCGCCTACCTTGCCACAGAGGAAGATGAGGTTGCTGTCTGGATCGTAGAAAGGAAACATGATGCCATTGCTGATGTCGAGATCCTGTTCCACCAGCCTTTTCGAAACGTCATCCTGAAGCAGATAAAAGCCTACATTCACAATGTGCTGGGGACCGCTAATTTACTTTTATGAAATTATGAGGACCAATGCAATCCTACTGCACAATTGGTTTCACAACGAAGACTGACTTAAGAACGAAACACTGAACTTTCGGAGATGCGAATATGTGAAAAGGTCTTTTGCGCAGAAAGAACTACCAACAACAGCAAATGGAAGGTGTGAAAAAGGGAAAAGTAGTGAGCTTTGACAAACACACACGCACAATGAAGCTGCCAGAAGTTGCAACACAAGGCCTGATTTATGAATTACGCAGCTGCTAGTAAGTTTCATCAAAAATCCGTATTCCCTTTGGAAGGGGTATTAGTGAATCGATACTGGGAGAACAGAAATATTGTAAGCAAGACCGATAAGGTGTCAATTGTGATTAATCAAAACGGTGACCATGAGCCAGCCGAATTGTTAAGTCTCAAAGGGTAGTAAGGGTAGTTAATGCGAACAGTATACCAAGACGGTTGGGCACGAAAAAATACACACGAGGGCTTATTTTAGAAGCATTGCATTCTCTTTTCTAGATAGTCAACGTATTGGCTCATGAGACTTTACAATACTTTAGCTTAGCAATAACTGTAAACTCCTAAGTTCTACTTCTTTTGCAAATCATTATTTGGGCTTATTTGCTCCATTTTTGCTTATTTGCTTATTTGGAAGCTCCGCATTCAAAAACTGACAGTCCCTATTAAAGCGTCTCAACGCAATTTTAGAGCACCCAAATGGACTAGCTTTGGGTTTAAGATGTGAATCCATGGTGGTAAATATGTATTTTTGAACTTGGTAAGTTCATCAGCAAAATTCTCCATAGTATCACTTTTCTTTGACTCAAATTTTGTAGCTCTATTAACCCCAAGAATACGGGACCTATCAACCGTAACGTTCATGTGGGACTGAATAACCGCAGTCGTTATCTCTAACGAAGCTATAAGCT